TTTTTGTCTTAAGGTGTTGTTTTTTAATTGTATTTCTAAATTCTCTTTCTGTCTTCCTATCATCATTGTCTCTGTCTTCGTAGTGTTTATTTTCATATTATATTCCTTCCCTCTGTTAATAAATTGATTAAGGTTCTGTAGATATTCTTTACTTTTTCTATCAGTACCTGGTCGTCGGCGAATAGTATTTCTGCAATATCTTCTTCATGATTAAGGCTAGTTTCTTATATATGATATCCATGTATGTTATTTAAAAAAAATGTGGCGATAGTACACAGCCCTGACGCACACCAGAGTTCACTATAAAAGTTTCTGACAACCTGCCTTCGATCTTATGCAGCATTTACTACGTGTGTACAGGCTTTTGCAAATATTGATGACATGATTGCTGATTCCCTCCCTTTCTTATATATGGTATAAATGTATGTTATAAAAAGAAGTGACGATAGTAAACAGCTATGACGCACACTAGAGTTCACTATAACAGTTTTTGACAACCTGCCTTTGATCTTATGCAGCATTTACTACGTGTGTACAGGCTTTTGTAAATATTAATGAGATGATTGCTGATTCCCTTTTCCCCCATACATTCCCCGTTCAAGCATAGGTTATATTAGGGCTCCCGGCTACAACCAAGATTGGGCTTCAAAATAAGGAAAAATGTGTCCCACATGGGAGCGTGTAATTTGATTACGCTAAGTGACCCGGATAGAAAGTGTTCCAATGAGTTCTAATGGCTGCCTTGTTCTGAATTTTGTTTTCATCATAAGCGCGTCGAATCTGGCTGGTGTGTATGACTTTAAGTTAAAAGTGGATGCTAGTGACGATAGGCCCTTATATTCTTTGGTTAATTAGAAGCCTATTCAAGCCTTTGACGAATTGGAGATAAAATGCTAAACAGGTCTGAGTTGGGTTGTTTTTTTTCTACCAGTAGGAAATGTTAAGCAGTACTCGCTCTTTTTTTTTAATGCATCATTTCTCCGGCACTACTCTAATAGACACTTTGTGAAAAGTATCAGCATTTTCTTAGACACGTTGTGGTGAGTGCAGGACTTTGTGGTGAGTGCAGGACTTTGTGGTGAGTGCAGGACTTTGTGGTGAGTGCAGGACTTTGTGGTGAGTGCAGGACTTTGTGGTGAGTGCAGGACTTTGTGGTGAGTGCAGGACTTTGTGTTGAGTGCAGGACTTTGTGGTGAGTGCAGGACTTTGTGGTGAGTGAGTGCAGGACTTTGTGGTGAGTGCAGGACTTTGTGTTGAGTGCAGGACTTTGTGGTGAGTGCAGGACTTTGTGGTGAGTGCAGGACTTTGTGGTGAGTGCAGGACTTTGTGTTGAGTGCAGGACTTTGTGGTGAGTGCAGGACTTTGTGGTGAGTGCAGGACTTTGTGGTGAGTGCAGGACTTTGTGGTGAGTGCAGGACTTTGTGTTGAGTGCAGGACTTTGTGGTGAGTGCAGGACTTTGTGGTGAGTGAGTGCAGGACTTTGTGGTGAGTGCAGGACTTTGTGTTGAGTGCAGGACTTTGTGGTGAGTGCAGGACTTTGTGGTGAGTGCAGGACTTTGTGTTGAGTGCAGGACTTTGTGGTGAGTGAGTGCAGGACGTTGTGCTGAGTGCAGGACTTTGTGGTGAGTGCAGGACTTTGTGGTGAGTGCAGGCGACTTTTTGTTTCCCTGGAAAAACATGTTTTTTTTTTCAAAACCTTTATGGTTATAGACAAACAGGCGCTCGGTGGATGATGTCGGCAACATCACGTCAGCCGCATTTACTTCCCTGAATATTACCTGGTACTCATTTTAGACTAAGTCCCCTTCGGAGCCAAAGATTTAAACCCTAGACCTTCGGGTCAAAAGTGAGCGTCTAGCCATAAAGCTACAGCGCGTCTCATATGGTCCTATACGTATTGCACAGGAATGGAGCAACCATGGGGTGACCCGTTTAAAGGTGAAACTGTGATTGCCCTTTGCGTTTCTTCGTCAGAACGACGACAAGACAATCAATCAATTATTCAATCAATCATTCATTCAACCAATCAATCAATTATTCAGTCAATCAATTATTCATTCAATCAATCAATTTTTCGATCAAATAATCGATTATTCAATCAATCAATTATTCAGTTAATCAATCACGTATTCAATCAATCAATAAATCAAACAATCAAGCAATGACTAAATCAATCAGACATCGTCTCCATAATGAAAAGTGGCTGCAATGGAGCTCCAACACACTATATTTCTTGTCCTGTTTGGACATTCTATTATAATCTCTCAAACTCTGTTGGCCCATTTCTTGATGTTGTTCTCCCACTTGTGCCGTTGCCTATCTCTTGCTCTCGATCATTCCTTCCGGTATGGTTTTTAAAAGCATAGTATGTCTTTTAAAGTAAGGAAATATTTCATTTGTCTTTTTTTTAATAAACATTACTTTCAGTAATTGTTTTTTATTTTTTTTTTCAGTCTTTTAGACTTTGAAATACGACATATTCTTCTGTATATCCATATTTCCAGAGATTCGGTTCTTATTTTTAGTTGCCTATTCGGTGTTCAAGTTTCTGCACCATACAACATGGTTGAGTATACACTGCATTTGACGATTATTAGTTTTAATGTTTTTAAACTCTATATAGTCATTTCCAAATGACTTGCCCAGCATTTAAAAAAAAAAAAATCTGTAGTTCAGTAACCGTTCAGTGTAAGTGGTTGAAGTTTGTAACTTATAACAATGTTACATGTAATCTGTATATACTCGTGTGTTTGTAACACCTTTTAATGTATTCAAACATCTACTTTTAAATGTTACCTTATCTGTGGTACATAAAAATCGATTCAAAGCTAACATTGCTGCAACATAAAATGACAAAACAATCTCAAGACGTGTGGCAGTTACTGTCTATTCTATTTTTTTTGGGTATGCAAATTATTAATCACATAAACATAAAAGAAATCAGCCACTTAAAGAGAATAGCATCACCTGTGCAATTGTAAATTATACAATCTAAATAATGCTTACACCCCATAAAATACATTACACAATTTACTATACTTTTCATATTTCGCTGTATCGCGCCACCTTTCGTTACTGCAGAGTTATATCCACATTTAATGAGGCACAAGAGAAACATCGGTGCAAGTCAAACTTTACGGGTCGCTGAGTGAATTACAAAAGACAGTGAAGTTCATACTAGGGACAACATTGCAGATATAGATAATTTTTTCAAGCGAACGAAAGAAGAAGAGGAATGGGACTCAAAAACAAAATAAATTACACTGCACCGTGTTTGAATCAAAAGATCATTAGGACAAGAGAAATATGAGGCCGCATGCAAAAATTCGTATTGATCAGAACAAGGGTTTTAGCAGTTTGCAGACTTGACGCAACAGCTGATTTACTTAGGCTCTTCAGTAGAACAATCTGTACTGCAGTGGATTCCAGGTCACTGAGGCTTGAAAGGCAGTGAAATAGCGGACAGATTGGCCAGAAGCGGCAGTGACATGGTACAACCAAATAGCGACATAACCCACCAAGAGATGAAAACATTCTATCTATCTATCTATCTATCTATCTATCTATCTATCTATCTATCTATCTATCTATCTATCTATCTATCTATCTATCTATCTATCTATCTATCTATCTATCTATCTATCTATCTATCTATCTATCTATCTATCTATCTATCTATCTATCTATCTATCTATCTATCTATCTATCTATCTATCTATCTATCTATCTATCTATCTATCTATCTATCTATCTATATATATATCTATCTATCTATCTATCTATCTATCTATCTATCTATCTATCTATCTATCTATCTATCTATCTATCTATCTATCTATCTATCTATCTATCTATCTATCTATCTATCTATCTATCTATCTATCTATCTATCTATCTATCTATCTGTCTATCTGTCTGTCTGTCTGTCTGTCTGTCTGTCTGTCTGTCTGTCTGTCTGTCTGTCTGTCTGTCTGTCTGTCTGTCTGTCTGTCTGTCTGTCTGTCTGTCTGTCTGTCTGTCTGTCTGTCTGTCTGTCTGTCTGTCTGTCTGTCTGTCTGTCTGTCTGTCTGTCTGTCTGTCTGTCTGTCTGTCTGTCTGTCTGTCTGTCTGTCTGTCTGTCTGTCTGTCTGTCTGTCTGTCTGTCTGTCTGTCTGTCTGTCTGTCTGTCTATCTATCTATCTATCTAATCTATCGATCAGCATGTCTGTCTGCCGGTCTGCCTGTCTGCCGTCCTGTCTGTCTGCCTGCCTGTTGGTATTTGTTTGCAAACACAGGCACCACTTTTATTCCATGCGGATGGACTAATGTCATCCCCACAGCCTAACCCTGGTTACGCCTTATTTGCCAACCCCTCCCTCTTCAGACACTCTGTGTACGCTGTTGTGCCTGTTGGCGTCCATTCCGCCCATTTCCCAGATATACTGTTCCCATTTTTCGCTCTCTGTCCGCGCGTTGGTGATATATAGCTTAGTACCTCTCCTAGTCTTGAACGGTTTTTTCGCCAGGGACACAGATGAGTATCATTTATTTTGTACATTATGTAGTCACTTCGTAGATAGAGCATTTTTGTGTATGTGTACTGTGTTGTTTTTTATGTGCTGATGAAGGCTAATCGCCGCAACGTCCTTTGTTTGTTTATTGTGATCAGTTTTGTAAAGCTAACATAAACTTTTTGTTCTTTCCTACCAACTTTTTCTCTTACCTATAATTTTCTACCCCTTTAAAAACCTAAAATATAAAGGGCAAGACTTTTAAACGGACCATAACGTTAGTTTGTTGAAAGCCGTTTTTAAATGTCTTATCTGGCAACCGGAAGCAGCCAGCAGAGTGAGCGGACCTGAAACATTTGACAACATGTGTTGTGGAGAAAGCAAGTTTTGAGACCTGCGACACGCACAAGCCAGTTTTACAGTAGATTTTTCTTGTTTTGTAGCTTATGCATTGTTATTTGTAGAATATACTAATATTATCCTGCATTGATTAGTTGTTTCTAGCCTGACATGTTGTTTCGGAACCCAAATTTGGAAACTGATTCGGATGACACCGATGAAGAGGTGAAAATATTTTCTTATTTTTCCGATTGTTTGTTTCTTTTTCTAAATTCTGTAGTTTTTTAAATTTTACTGCAGTACATACTTCATACTTATAACTTATTTATATGTATCCCGTAGGGGTTGGGTTCCAGGGCCCCATTGTGGGTAAAACAAGAATAGACGCACGGCCTCCACAGTCACAGAAAGCATGTCTCAGGAGTCGACTAATTGGGGACATCCTTCTAAGTCGGATAACATCTCAGATCTGCAAGAGAGGCAAGGAACAAGTATGCATTCAAATAAACTGGATCTTTCTGTGAAACGGATACACGCAACGCTCTCAGGTTCTGAAGCAGGACTAGAATCCAGAGATGGACGAACACCTAGAGTTTTCCGCTGGAGTTTAGAGACAGTGAATGATAAAGTATAAAGATAAACTGGTTACAGTTAAGTAAATATAATGGCGCTTCTTTGATTTATTCCCCAAAATGGCGGCATGCCACATTCTGGCTATAAAATATCCGAATGACGGTGTTCGCGTTTATCTAAAATACGGACTTTCTGCCAACGAACAAATCGCAGCAAAATTAGGATTACTTGACAACCAATATCAACATTTGCACACGGTACTAGTAGCAGACGATAAATACCGACCGTTGACAAAAATTTCGAGCGTTTCTGCAGACGACGATACTAGCAGACGATATTAGCGACCGTTGACCAATTTCGAGACATTACAGACGATAAAAGCCGATTAGCAATACTGTGTTCTTCCGATAGGAGGATTTAGCAGCAGTAGATGTCAGACTTGTCGGCATGCGCCAAACGCGATTAAACTCATCGCCGAGCGTATCTAGGTGCCTGGGACTCACGAGTACAGTAATTGGAGGAAGTTGCAGGAGATGCGGTAGCTGCCACTCGTGAGTCCCAGCCATCTAGTTTAGCCCCCATCCGCGCCGCGCGTAGCTGCGCGGGGGATACGCTCGGCGGTGAGGCACACTCGCAGAAGCAGGTCGGCAAGCAACGTATCGCCTAGACCCTGTCAGAGCTTTTGTTTCGTTATTCGGAGCAGGCACATATATTTTTAATAGAACTGACCCCGCATTCGGATATTTTTGGATATTTTATGGCCAGAAATTTGCCAATTTAGCTCCTTTTTGAACGCCATCATATTACAGCCGCCATTTTGGGGAACGATTCAAAGAAGCGCCAATATAATAAATATATGGCTCTAAAATCATGAACTCTGTATTGTATTGAAGTCACTGCCCTCAGCCTGTGGTGATTCTCACTCAACTTACTGGCACTAGTACGTATTTATAAATCTTGTCGGCCCGGCTCTCTAGCCCAGTTGGCTAAACCAGATTGCGCGGTGACTGGGTGACGAACTCCCTTGTGGTACAGGTTCACTCCCGGGGGTAGGCAGACAAGCCACATTTCTTCCAGATTTACAGTACGTACACTGGAATCAAGCCTGAAAGGTTGCGATATCCATAACACCGAGCCTAAGGGTTAACAACTCATGGCATCTGGATACTAAAACAACAAACAATAATCTAGTCTTGAGACTAGTGGTTTTTTTCTGTTACAAATTTAGTTTACTACCCATATCCACTTAGTGCGACACTACTTGTAGAACTTTAGGGGCTGTTTTCATATCAAACAATCGTACCCATAGTCATTCATTTTTGGAGATTAATTATCATTGTTGGATATCCCGATATTAAGTGGTCTTTAATAAAATTAAATGATTATCTTATGATCAGCAAATCCAAAATTTATAAGAAACAGTTATAATGATGCCTAAATCACAGATGACCTTAGTCTTCTTCAGTGAATGTTAACTAAAGAATATGTTTTTTAAATTTTGTTTGTGGGTTCGAAAATAAAGATCTTCATACTTCATCGCAGGAAACATTAAATTCAGTTACAGGATACTGTGACGCAACGAGCATGTCAAAAACTGCTCTTTAAAATCGAAAAACATCAGTTGCCTAGAAAAGGTCTCAATCAGTGTAATTCATGAATCCAGTTTGGGTAAAAATATCTTAGCAACAACAGACGTTACTAAGCAATTAATTACAAACCAACCCTGGTGCAGCATCCCTTTGCATAGTGATAATAACTTAATATTAATGTAGCCTAGAAAGAATTAGAATGATAGGCATCCAGGCTACAACCTTGCAGATCTAAAATAAACATTTACCTCTGTGATGAAGTAGAATGAACATACAATTTGGCAGGTGGAGAAAAAAATTGTTGCTCATAGTAATCTTGTATCATTTTTAAAAAAAAGTCACATGAAATGATAAATATACCACAGAAAAACAGTTGTAGAGACACACAACAACAGCATGATTACAGTATCATATCTACAATTTTTTTTATTAAGAATATTTGGAATGGATCCCTTGTGTATTTCCAGCTTCAAGAAGCCTTGGCTGCAGGAAAGATCAAGCCTGGTCTTATAGTTGAGCAACAGAAGAAGACGTTCATCAATAACAGGGTTTGAATTGTTTTCTTCTTAAACTCTATGTTGGGTATTTCTTTGACCTGCATTAGCAACTGTCACATGTGTTTGTAGTATACACATCTTGGTAATTCAGCAGCATCTCCTTCTCTGAATAAACAAGACTTTATGTTAAGATTTTGGGATGCAGGGGTGCTGAAATACGTACAGTGTTGCACTAGGACCACAACTCACACTGATCAAGGGATGCAGTTGTTCTGAACTGGGATCTCAGCTCATACTGGTCAAGGAATGCAGCGGTTCTGTACCAGAACCTCAGCTCACTGATCAAGGAATGCAGCGGTTCTGTACCAGAACCTCAGCTCACTGATCAAGGGATGCAGCAGTTCTGAACCAGGACCTTAGCTCATACTGATCAAGGGATGCAGCGGCTCTGTACCAGGACCTCAGCTCACAGTGATCAAGGGATGCAGCGGCTCTGAACCAGGACCTCAGCTCACTGGTCAAGGGATGCAGCAGTTCTGAACCAAGACCTTAGCTCATACTGATCAAGGGATGCAGCGGCTCTGTACCAGGACCTCAGCTCACAGTGATCAAGGGATGCAGCGGCTCTGTACCAGGACCTCAGTTTACAGTGATCAAGGGATGCAGCGGTTCTGAACCAGGGCCAGAAATCATACTGGTCGAGACCTGTCCACACCTTTCTGCCGTCATCCTAGTAGAAAAAGATTCCTAGATGGGGCCTGGCCAGATTAGATAGCGTCAGCATTGAAGCTGGAAAACAGCCATCAAAGAGACGGGAAACCAACATGAAGACGTATCAGGTTTAATCTTTTGTGTGTGGTTCCAATCATGTCATGTGACCAGGCCTTCTAAAAATGAATCGCTTTGTTTATCTTTACTTTATCATTTTCACATTAGCTTTGCTATTTGGCAGTAAGTTTTCTGGTAAACCTCTCATCATTACTTGCTGATATTTTTTGAACAGCTGCCTTTCTGATTTATTGCTTGGGCTGCCATGTTCATTTTCCTGACTTCCCAACAGAAATCATGTTAGTTCAGCTATTAAAGGCTTCAGGTGTCTGCTCATTGTTCAGGTTTACGTTAGTTAGTTAGTTGGGTTATCCTCATTGCACTCCGGACATGTCCATAGGTGCTCAGATCCTCCCCTCAGTATGAATCCCAACGTCCGATGGCTAATAGTACCAGTTCTATGTTGATTAACAAATCTTCTGACGTGTCCGGTGTGCGTCTCGTTTTTTGCTGTGCCGATCTTAATTCCCAAGTCTGCCATTCTGGCGAGTGATGTGGATTCACTGCCACCAAAGTCCTCTATCCTTCCCATTTCTCTGAGGGCATTGATAATATCAGCATGATCCATAGGCTGACCGTCGGTAGTGATAGCGGATCCAGCCAGCCTGTCAGCTCTTTCATTTCCATCGACGCCTGCGTGTCCCGGAACAAAAATAAAGGTGACTCCTCGCACAGTGGACTTCTGAATTGATTCAAGCCATTGTCTTCGCACTGAACCTGCCTGAACCCTCCGGATCATACTCATTGAATCACTGAGTATACATATGCGGGTGTATTTTTGTGTTTCAAGCCAGGCAAACGCTTGCGTCACTGCCATCACCTCCATCGTCATGCTGCTGGTTGTCATGGAGAAGGCGCCGTTGGCTTCTTTGACTGTTCTGCCCGCTGAGCGTGCTGTAAATGCCCATGCGCTTCTTCTTTGGCGTATAACGGATCCGTCTGTATAGATTAGTGCATCTGCTTCGTCTGAATTTTCACCGATGAGAGCGTTGACCTCTGCATTAACAGCAACAGGATTCTCTTCTCTACATCGCCTGTTGAGTGTGACAATACAGGAAAATGTACAAATAAACGCCTGAGGCACAGGTATCCATTCTGCACCAGGTATGATGTCGGTTAGGCTGCATATTTGCCTAATAACATCTTCTGCCCGACCTAGCCACGATTTTCCCCTCTTCAGTCTGTCGCCCTTTTCACTAAAAAGCGCTTGATGCAGTGGGTGTTTCTTATCAGCACATATCAGGTTTACTTATATACAGTAGAATAGATTGCACCTTGTACTTTGTTTTAAAGGTTTGATTGGCCAGCATATTTTCTTCCTGTCTTGTTAAAAAAAAAAAAAAACTGCTCTTGCCCTAGTGTTCTTGTTAAATTGTTTCACAGCATCTTACATCTAATATAGTGACTATTTTAACATTCAGAACTAATTCCAATGTTTAAAATTTACTTAAATATTGTTTTGTGTTTTTTTTCCTAATGGGTTAGCAAGTGTAAATAACACAATAATAAGTATGATAACATACATATGTCACAGGTATCTGTAAATATACTTAAATAACCCCAGCATTGTAATTGTTCTATCCACAGGAGGGCTTGGGCGATAAAATCAAAGAGTTTTCTCTCGGTAAATTAAAGTGGATCGAGAGGTTGGACCTGACCAATGATCCAGCTCCTTCCATAGAACCAGAAGACACAGCCAGTTTAGAAAATGATGACTTTCACAGAGAAATGCGGTTGTAAGTGTTTTTAACTCCAGTCTTGATCTTGAGATCCCAAAAGAGAACAGTATGTTATAGCAATAGGAACTCTTGGGTTTTGGGGGCTAGTAATCTTTACCAGGTTGATTTTGATTTCATTTTTATTGCCTGGTCAACCCAGTTTCATAAGGTCTCCAGGTGATGCTTTGAAAAGGAAAGTCAGAGTGTTGCATGCATCACCGATTCAGTGCTAATTTTATAAAGTAACTGTTGTTGCTCCATCTATTCACCGTCGGGGGTGGGAAGGTGCAGTAGTAGTTTCTTTAACCTGAGGATTGGAGGTCACATAGCTAGACTACATTCACTATTGACTGCACGTTGTGATGTTTATTTTTACCCTGCGCAAGAACAAATCTTCATCATTATGTCTAGGATTTGTACTAGTTACTCCTGCATGAGAGCTGAGCATTTCAACCTGTTAGACAGCCAATGAATGGTCTGTCAGATTTTGTTTGTGGTCTCAAGTGATTTGCCTGATGCGCTGACTGCAGGCAAAAGACCTGTTACATATTTTGCTATCCTCTATACTGCTGTGACTTACCCCCTTTCTAACCACTGAACAGTTCTCCCAAGTATAGAATTTCAACCGTGTCATAGTAGCCAGCCATGTGGTTTCTTCTACAACCCCTGAGTATAGTCAGAAACTATTTGAATTTTATCTCATTACAGATTACACACAGCCTTAAAAAGATACATGATCCTTTAACATTATCATGCCAAGTATGGCTTTCACTGTAGCTTTCTATTTTTGTCAACAGCTACAGGCAAGCGCAGGCTTCAGTTCTCGAGGGTCTCGTAAAACTCGCCAATATGTCCATCCCCACAAAACGACCAGAAGATTACTACGCAGAGATGGCAAAGTCAGATGAGCATATGAAAAAGGTATTTTCGATTATTTAAAAGACAGTTGTCCTGTGCCGCCCATTAGCTGTTCTTCGGATACACCATTATGTCATGTATGATTGGCATTATTCGTATGCACTGTGTCATGCCCGATTGGCTATTCTTCATGCATACCAGTTTAAAACGTAATTGGCTGTGATATCTGTTTCTCTAATCTTCACATGGATCAGTCATATGTGATTTGACTCTTATGTTTAACCAGAGCTTATAGAAAAAATTAATTAAGCATTTTTTTGATTGAGCATGTAGCTCAGTGTAAAAGTAACAAATTCGTGTTTGTGTCATCGTATTTCCCTCATTGTCCCTGTGTGGGTTTTGAGATCCACTGACCCCCCCCCCCCCCCCCCCCCCCCCCCCCCCCCACCCACCACCACTATTACTTACACCCTTATCATTACCCATATTTGTTGGGTGCAGATATAACAGTCTGGCTGTAAACCACAGCACAGCATGACAACCACTTTTTAAGAACAAAAGTGGGAAAGGATCTCCCTCCCACATTGAGCAGTTGTCCTTCTGGGTATGGAAGATATATTGGAGTATAAATTTGATTTGTTGTTAAAAGTTGGCACGTGGAACTGATTTACCTTTTGAAGGTCTTGTGAATGCTACAAACACGTCAAGGCCCGGCATATTAAAATCAAGTGATCACTTTATGTAAATGTAGGCAATAATGCAATATGATATGATATGCTGATCTGATGCAACAAGATTGGACATCCAACAAAGCTATTATAATAAATAAGCTGTTGTGAAATGCACTGAGTCATTATTATTTGTTCATGTGTGAAGTGCCTAGTAACGGTCTGAAGAATGTGTGTGTATCTGTGTTTAATATTGCCTCATGTCTCCTAGGTTCGGTCAAAACTTTTGGAGAAGAAACTGTCCATGGAGAGGTCAGAGAAGGCAAAGAAGTTGAGAGAGTTGCGCAAATATGGGAAAAAGGTGAGTTCAAAATGTTATTTCAAGCTGACCAAAATAACGAGTTGCTGTGTGTAATAGAATTGATGAATTACATTTTTACACTTTGAAATAGATATGCTGACTTCAACTAACTATGATCTTTCTCATAAGAACAATCAGTGGAGTAGCTGCTGCATCGGAGGACGGGCCATGCATGGGATTGCTCAATATGCAGCGACGCGGATTGTCATCACATAGCATTTCTTTTATTTGAATGCACTCAATGATACTGGACATTGTCTGAGGGTTAATTTTGGACATTTGAGCCTAAGGTTTACATAGCCTTGATATACTGGGTGCAATCAGCTGAAGGCCTAACTCTTTCACGCCGAGAAGCCGCAATACCAGTTGGATCACTTTTCCAACTTGTTTCTGGCGACCTGTGTACGCGATGCCGTTTTCACACCTGTACAAATGGTTAGGAGATCAGGGTACTGATACATAAACAACAAAATAGCATGGGGGAGATAGGAGTGTTTCCTTTGAGCCAAGTTGGCATCACATTTTTTTCTTAAATTAAGCTTTACTGATAGTGGTCACTGCATGAGTCACCTGATAAATGTCTTCTATATGAGGCCCCAGGTAATGAATATATTCCATTTAATGCTTATTTATTTCACTGATTACTTCTTTCATATATCTTTTTATGTTTAAAAAAATTTGTCAAGTTGTACTCAAATAAATTCATTATTGTCCTGTGTAAACATATTAGTGTAAGGAATTTTTGTCTGAATTTCAGCAGAGGTGCGACCCATTTTTAAAAAATAAATTGTATGTTTCCGAAGTGAGAGGGTTAAAATGAATTTCACTCTTTCACAGAGATGAAATATGTGCTATTAGTTTCCTGTTACATGTTGTCTATATAGTACTAGGTATTTCAATATTTGTTTTTGTATCCAGAAATGTTTTTTTTGTATATCTATAGGTTCAACAAGAGGTTCTTCAGAAGAGACAGAAGGAGAAGAAAGATATGTTGGACACCATTAAGAAGTTTAGAAAAGGTAGAATTTGTGAATGCTATATTGTTCAGTATTTTTATCAGTGCACAATTGTAGAATTCAAGGCTGTTTTTTCATTGGCAATATGCGGTGGTATACAACACTAACATTTTTGTGTGTGTCTATGTATCATATCGAACCAGACGAGCAGTAGAGCTGATCAGCTTCATGTTGTCGCAGTCATGAACAACAAATAAATATTGCTACTAGAAAGTCTCTCCTCTCGTCAGCATATACAGGAAATCACTTATCTGTGGTTTTGAGATCTCTGCTAGAAATACACACTTCTTGACAGTAGAAACTCTGATACATGTGTGGATAAGACAGGAAATGAAGTGGCTAGTTATGGCAAGGGCTGTGCTCTGTGTTATAAACATTTGTGGTGAGTGCTGGCACCTGTTTCAGACACTGGCAGGTACTGATACCTTTGTTTCTTCATAAAAAAGAAGCCACAGGAATAATTAGAAACAACCTTATGAGAGTTATATATGAAACACTTGGGGCAATCTAAAAATCTTTTGGGTCTCAGGAATGATCTTTTACAAATTATTGCTTGAAATTACTCGCAAAACCAAAATGAAAAATTGTAAAGTTTGGACAGAAGCTCAGACATGAAGACTACTTATCACAAACTTTAAAGAGATGAAAACATTAATACAATCTAGTATCCAAGAAAGGTGGCTGGAGACCCACACCAGATTTTCTCCCCAAGACTCACTTCATCGCTTCTCTAGAGAGGGACAGTGTATTATATTCAGACTAAGGACTGGGCAAAACAGATTTCCTCAACATATGTTCAAATTTTTCCGTGTAGGAAATATGGAGTGTCCCTGCTGAGCATGTGCTCCGACACTGTCAACTGTATGCTGACAACAGAGATGCAATCCGGCCTGTTCCAACCACAATGAAGACAAAACTGTATGGTACACGAGAGGATATGGATTGCACGATAGCTTTCATAAAGGCTACCGGCCTCCTGATATAAGTTTTCTGACAGAAGGATTGAAGAAGAAGAACAAACTTTGAAAAAGACTGGCATGATATGTTAACCAAACAGTAAGATAAATACCAAAACATTGCTACAGTTGGTAGAAGAAGAATGAAATAATTATTAGCAGCAGTTTATCATGGTATGAAAAGATGACAGCAAAAAAAAAAATGATATCTGCTTTTGGAGATTTCAGAATGTAGAGAAGCATGATTCCCCTCGCAAGTCACATGATCATGGTGATATCAAACATACTGTTTGTCTTATTTATTGTATATAGTTGATCAGTGACCTCCTGTATACATTCTGAGATCCGTTATATTTGACAAACCCTGTAAGTTGTTACAGTAGCATAGACCAAGTTTAACATTTGGTATATTACTGTTTGCCGTTTTTTACTAGCCTTCACAACAGTAATTCATATGTGTACTTAAAGCATATTATCACGGTTGTACACCCCTTTAGCTGGCCATAAACATCATGGTTGTGTAATTGTATTTGTACACATTGCTGCATTCTGTGGTTACACATTTAGCTCTGTTTGTCTTCTTGACCTGTGTACTTTTTTCTTGCTTACACACCATGTGTACACACCAGAAAGGTATATCTGGTATTATTTGATGAAGTTGACTGAAATCCTGTTTGTTTTCTTAAAATCTAGGCCAGATAGACAAGGTTGATTTTCTGGACGAGACCATTCAGAGACAGAACAAGCAAGTTACAGATAAAAAGACGTTTACGTAAGTTTCCAGGAAAAAAGTGGAGTTGCTTGTTGTAGTTCTGTTCAGTGGAGGGAAAGTACGAGACAGTTCGCCATGTTGCCTGCAGCATTGGGGCGGATATAAAAAATGGCTTTATTCTTCTGTGCCCATATTATAATTAAATATTTTGGCAGACGTATCTGACTTTTGCAGGCATTTGTTGTTCATTTTAGCTTTGCTGGGAATTGCTTTCTGACTGATTGTTGACAGAATGAAGTCCTTCATTGTTTTTGGTAATCTGTTTAAACATGTTTGATCATTTCATAAGTCAGATACTTAATTTAAAAAAAATTCCTCTAAAAAATCTACAAAACATTTAGCTAATTAACTGTTAAAAAGTTTGTTGTCTTAATTGTTGGCATTTTTGTTTTAAAATAAACAATGGTATATAACAAAAGTAATTAATCGACAAGAACAGATTAAAGCATTACATGGAATGCATTGCACAGAACCTAAAAACATACATGTGTGCTTAAGATTAAGGGGTAATTTTAGCCAACAAGACTTTATAAAGGCTATTGAATTCACAAGGACATCCCTCTAGATGCTATGTTTAGTTAATATATGAACATTCTGGCATCCTAAATACTGCACGAGTGCATACAGAACTAGTGGGGCTTGACTACACTTGTCGAGTACAGGTCTCTAGAAATGGAGATATTTTGGCATTCACTGTGCCGTGTCAAAGCTGGAAGTGACTAGAGGATAGCCTTCTGTAGATAACTAGGTTCAGCATATCTTCCCCAAGCAAGTCTACTTTGTTAGGAGACTACTACTGTTGTTTTCTGTTGCATTTTCCTCTCGTGTCACAATTTAGCAGTGTGGCATTCATGATACAACGTCTGATATGATCCCAGATCTGTGTTCATTTCTCACTTGTGCATTTCGAATTATTTGCAATTCGGCCAACCGTAGATTACTTCGATACGTGGAAGCTTCCGCGATTGGCAGATTGAAACCGGATCTATGTAGGCAAAAAGAAATGGTCGTTGCCCTACGCTTACCTTGGTAAAAGTTTGAAATGCACTTGAATTTGTGTTTCAGTTTCTAGGATTCAGCTATTTGCTTCATTTTAATTAATTGTTACTGTAGTATGCACCTGACGAGATACAGCGAAATATGCAGGGCAATAAATTGTGCAGCCTATTGTTTGTGTCTTCTTTGTTCAAGCTTTTTTATTGTTTGATCTTTTTCTTGCAAGGTTAGGAAGGCTTGTTTTGAGCTGTTTGATAACCCATGCTTAATTCAGGGATGAACAACAGAAGCAATAAATTTTTTTAAAAGTGCTTGCACATATTTTTAATATAATATTTAATTGAATTTATTCTTTGATGTTTGTTTAAAGCCATTTGATCATTGAATAATTTTTTAAAAAATGTCTGCAGTCCTAACAAAAAACGAGAATACAAGAACAAGAAGTTTGGATTTGGAGGTCAGAAGAAAAGATCCAAGTACAACACAGCTGAAAGTGCAGCAGACGTCAGCAGTTTTAACCCTAGGAAAGCTCAGGGAAAGGGACCAAGCAAATCGACAAAGGTTTGTCAATATTTCTGAATTTCAATCTTGAATATGTTATTGAGTCAACACGATACGTGGCATTCAACTACTGCTTATGTAAGTTGAAGTCTTTCGCCTGTACCTGGCAGCAGTTGAAGTTAAAAGTCAAATGGATCGATTTCAATACTTGTTATCCCATAATGCTCGGCCTGTCCACACAAAGCACCAGTGGAGATCCTTAGGGATCTGCATAAAAATTGCACTTATGAACTGAGCGACATGTCCATGAAACAACCCCACAACCTTCAGAGGGCAAGGCAAATGGCTTGACCACTTTACTATCGAGACCCCTGCTGTCCTATATAAACAGACACCAAACACTTCTTCTAGTTCAGGATGTGTGGTGTCAGCAGTTGTGGGTCTGGCTCTTCTGTCTCATGTACTGCCAATCATTCTTGATTGGCTGACCTTTCTGTCTCATGTACTGCCAGTCATTCTTGATTGGCTGACCTTTCTGTCTCATGTACTGCCAGTCATTCTTGATTGGCTGACCTTTCTGTCTCATGTACTGCCAGTCATTCTTGATTGGCTGACCTTTCTGTCTCATGTACTGCCAGTCATTCTTGATTGGCTGACCTTTCTGTCTCATGTACTGCCAGTCATTCTTGATTGGCTGACCTTTCTGTCTCGTGTACTGCCAATCATTTCTGATAGACTGGTCTATGTACACACAAGGAAGATATTTAATACATTATTTGGCTTGACCAATTTCCTTTGTATGTGGCACATGGACAAGTAGTTAGAATGCAGGGCTGTCATGCAGGATACCCAGGTTTGATCCTAAGGGATCGGATTTGTCTGTCAGAGGCTGGAATAACAGTCTACTTGCACCGTTTGTAGCAGTTGTACTAGCCATTCAGCCGTAAATGCTCAGACTCAAGACATGTCTCCTTCGCTGCCCTTAAGGTGGCCAGTTAGTTGTGTCGTCTTTACAGGACGTTGCAGAACCAACCCCAGCATTTTTGGCTGTTGTGGTTTTTCTAGGCAAATGTTACGTTCGCAACGCCTAAGCCACCGAGCCGACAAAATGGCCAGTACAGGTAGTAAAAACAGTTGCACACACAAATACTCATAAACATCATACCATGCGGTGGCATTGGTAGGCTTTTTTCCTTAGGCTCGAGATTATGGATATCGCAACCCTTCGGCCTTGATTCCATGATAAATATCGTAAATCTGGGAGGAATGTGGCTTTTCTGCGTGAACCCGGACCACAAGGAGTTCATCACCTGGTCGCCACGCAATCCGGTTTAGCCAGCTACGCTAGCAAGCCGGGCTCTGGAAGGTGATAAAGGGGCTTGCAAATATGGACATGGGATATTAACGCCATTGTTCCTGTCTGCTCATGTTATCAGTTTTAAAAAAGCATATAAATGTCAAAGCATTAAAAATTGAGCACGAGAACACGAAATATTTATGTGACTGTTTAGTGTTTGCTTTTCTAGCTTTATATTGTTCATTTATTATATTACTGGTATATTTTCAGAAGCCACAAGGAAAAAGACCTGGCAAAAACAAGCGAAAGACAATGAAAAATAAGAAATAAATTGTTTTGCTTCTGTTGTAGAAAATAAATTGTTGATTTGCTTTTATTTTTGGTATTGTTTTTCTTCTCTGTTGTTCACTTTGTTACTTTTGCCTGAAGTAGGATTACAAAATGAATAAAGAAGATGATTACTTTCAGGTGAAATATTATCACCCTGTGAAATTACTCTCGGCCTTTTAATGTCTCCTTTTCTTCTTTGGACATCCCGCATAATGCTGCCCATCCCAGTTGAACTGCATGTTATTGTGCAACTATCAGATGCCCTAATATAGCTGTATTGTACGGTTAAACAGGACTTCTTTTATTTGCATTCAGGATTCAGCCCTGGAAAAAGATGCAACAAAAAATATTCTTCTTTCAAATTAGTGCACACATTTTCTAGTCAATGTTGAGGATCCTATGGTGTTTACAAGAACTTGCACACTTAAATATATACATGTACAATTATATATTTATTGTGATTATTTTCTGTTGTAAAACTTACTCCCTGGAAAGACCACTCAGTTCCTGTGATCATAATGTTTGTATTGGTAATTCTTTGTTTTTTAGATAAGTGCTCCGCCCCATCTTTAGCAGCAAGGGCAGAGAACCAGTTCAGATGGTACTAGTAACAGAGTTGAGCATCAGACAGAATCCCCAGGCCACTCCTTGCTGCACTATTCTCCTCACACAGTGACATCTCTTTGTACCTCTGAAAGCTTGCTTGTCGTGCACAAATGTTTGCCACCTAGGGGTGCATAACTAGCCAGTGTGTCTACTAGTTAACCTCCCAGTACACACCAGTGCATACCAGAAAGTATCCAAGGGGCATTAACTATCCGGGGATAAGATTGTTTTAGTCATGGAAAGGTCAACAGCAGGTGCTGTCGATTAGTCGCTGCATATAAAATAGGGTTATTCGAATGTTGAATACTTTCTTTCAAACAAAGGGATATAAAGTAAAGGTCCGTTTTCACGCCTTTAGGCGTATCGGGTATATGGGAAGAGCGCCTATATTTTTTACAGACTATTGGCACTAGGTGGGTAATGCCAGCATTACGCTGACCGTCTCTACTTCCACAGGTACCCATTTTAGGCTGGGTCAACCTGCGATGCCCCATACCATGATAAAAATCCACGCAGTCAGCAGTGGGTTTCGATCTCGGTACTTTAGAATTACGAGTTGGGCTCGCAACGCCTAAGCTACGGACGCCGCAAACAAAAGTATATGCTTCCCCTAATTGGTGGTTCTGTGCCAAATCAAAAATGAAATGCTTGCCTCACTTCTGTCAATGATTCAGTTTTGCTAAAACTTGGTTGCGCAGAAAACCTTGTGTTGCTTGATGGCCATCTTACCTAGGACTGAACTGAAAAGTCCTTGGTTGCACAGTCATGCGTGCTCGAGTGGTTGGTTAGCAACTGCGCTGTAGGTAGTAGTCAAAACATTACACCTTACCCTCTGTTTTATATATATGTTCTGTACATTCAAGGAGATATACATGCATGAAACTATCTCTGGTCATGCACTTCATCTACTGTGGGCCATAAACTGTGATGTCAGATCAAGGTCTGACAGTAATGCCAGTGACTAAACATGTCTACATGTAGAGGGATTCCAGGTTTGGTCGGTTTTCATTCCAAGTGAAACCATGCTGTAGAAGACAGGTGAAGATGTGCCTCCTACCACAGACTTCGTAGAGGCCCTTGGTCTTCTTATCTCAAAACTGCTGACCGGGACAACAAAAATAAGAAGAGGTACTGATTTCAAGTTGGGTCGGTCCAGGAACCCAGGTCAGTGATTCAAACTTCTTTGCTTCAAAAGAAGAATCAAACAAATGACCACTGGGCCAGCAGACCTGCATGCTAGCAACTCTACTGCTGTGACTCACTTGGTGTGTAAGGTGTTGGTACATTTATGTCCTTCTAGACAACAGTGTGTCCAGAAAGCAATGACAAACTACTGGGCGTAAATTTGTCTAGAAAGACCACAACAGCCAGAAAGTGCTGGGGTTGGTTCTGCAACGTCCTGTAAAGGATACACAGCAAATTCTAGACGACAGTGTGATATAATAGGAATCACCGTCCCTGGCAAATGTGACTAACAACAGCAGTTCACAATACATTTTTTAAAAATCGACAGTCAGTGCTGTAGCTTCCAGGACTAGTTTCCATTAAAGTGTTATTTGACATGTCTCTGCTCGACATGTTTGCAATTCTTTTACTCGTTGTCCCCACCCCCTTCTTAATGTGATCCACAGCATTCAGTTCTAATTAATCAACCTCAATATCTGTATCACTCATGTTCCACCTGCTGCTTCTTCAACATTCCAGTCCTTGAGGTTCACTGCCTCCATTCATCTCTGAGGTTGACCTTCTCTTTCCAGTTAGTGACACCAAGTGTTTGCAGGTCTGTCTGGACATTATCTCTCCATTGTCTTCACTGTCTACCACTATTCAGACCCTTGTTGGTGTACATTTTTTACCTCACTGTCCTCTGACATTCTCTCAATATGCCTCAACCATTTCAGTCTAAATTTTTTCGTACGCTAGCGAGCTTCTCAACATAACGTCCTTTGGAATACTATTTGAAGTTTTAAAATTGTGAGTATTTTGCTTTGCCGAAAAGTACTGAAACAGTTTTTGGGTTTGCATAGATCGTGTTATCAAAAAGATGTGATTGTGGAATTAGAACTCGAGAGGACGACAAGATACTGCTAAAACCACCGACAACCAAGGAATACAAGATAGGAAGATTGAAACCTTTGTTTTCTTGATGTACCGTGTAATCCATTCTTGTAGGGCTATCTGACCCTATCATGTTTTTAATGTCGTATGTTTATTGCAGCGGGTCATTACACTATTTTACAAAATGTTATCTCTCTCTCTCTCTCTCTCTCTTGTTGTACCCGAACCAGGACAACACACAAGTGATAAACACCCGGTGACACAAAGTGCCACCATGTGGATGAGTACCCCTCGTGGAGAGGTTCCAAAAACCCCTTTCAGTTAGTTAGTTAGTTAGTCTTTCCTCTTGTGTCGAGTGCGGCACATAGGGCAGAGGTCGCGACTCTCCATGCACAGCGGTCCGTTGCAATCCGTTGTAGGTCTTGGATGTTTGAGTGGCCCATGAGCGAGCCTTCCCTGATGATAGTTCTACGTAGGGTTTCTCTTGGTCTTCCACGAGATCTTTTCCCCTGTGGTGTCCAAATGAGGGCTTGGTAAGGAAGTCTTGATTTATCCATTCTAAGGGCCATATCCCTTTCAGTGCTTAGGCCATATTTATGGCTCGGCTATATTCAGCCCCCCCCCCCCCCCCCGACAAAAGCCAGGGTGGGGCTTCGAATGACGAAAAATTGCTTCCCACATGGGGACGGCTGATACATACAAAAATGTTATCTTTCACGATTTGAAAATATTCAAGAGTCCACCATGTCCCGTGATCCCCTGCGCAGACGCCATTGTTGGACCACAACACAGACAGGCTGTAGTGTTTGGGGGATGTGCTGTTGTTGTGGTGTCTCTTTGTTCACCATTGTTTTAGCCAGTTTCTAGTAGTTATCTGTTCATCTCAAGAAAAGTAGGCTTTATAATTCTAAAGAAATTCTACTGTAAAGTGGACTTTTAATCAGTTTGACTGCAACTTCTTTTAGAGGAGGTAATCAAGATGAACTGAAGACGTGAAAACTGCAGTCGTATCTTTTCCGTGTGTCTTCATTTCGTTGGACGTTGTCCTAGATATATATTGTGGATATTGGATAGTTTTACGACAATTACTGTTAATTACAATAGAGACTGCTTTCTTGTTTTTAGTTATGAATATAGAACTGGTGACTTTTTACTGGAAATAATTTTCCACGGATACGATAAGTCGATCGATCATCATTGTTGCAGAACGGACGCTCAGCTCAGTGATCAATCATCCCTTCCATTCATAAACCACCCCAGCAGGCAGGTATGGATTTATTAAATCATTTTATATGTGACTGCTAGTTTTCATGTTTTATTTTATGGGTTTTACCTTCGGCGTCTGTGGCTTAGTCGTTGCGAACGCGCTTTGTAAGTAATGCCAGCTGCGGGCTCTGCACCTTGCGTTGGTTTCTACAGTGGTATCAAGATGAAGAAGCCGACCGCCCAATGGCAAACTACTGGACGTAAATTTGCCTAGAAAAACCACAACATCCCCCCCCCCCCCAAAAAAAAATGCTGGGGTTGGTTCAGAAACGTCCTGTAAAGGAAACACAACAACTAACTTTAACCTTCCACAAAGAAAGATTTCATGCTCATTTAAGGACCATGTGGAGAGTGTTGTGACGAGATGCATGACTGAATAACAGTGAATGCCAAAAAGGACTTAGTGCACTTAAGACTATGGCTGCAATTGACATAGAGCAGAGAATGCTTTTCACACTATATCTATATCAGCACCTGATCCTATCGGTGGTTGATTATGGCCTGGGGCTGCTTACCGTCTCAGAGAGTCAGATGGACAAACTAGAGCGCATACAGAACGCGGCTATGCGGGTCATTCTGGGTTGCACCAGAGACAGGACACCCCAGGGGTATGTATGCGATACATCCTTGATTTGCAGACTGTTGCAGTAGGTAGGCACAAGGTGCTGCAGGCGAAGTCATATATCAGGGTAGCTGCAGACACAGACCACCCTTTGCACAAAGCTCTGGGTGCAGTTAAAGAAGTGCTTAGCAAAAGTTAATAGTTGATGTTTGGTGCAGGAGAGCCTAGCATATGATACCACAACATCCAGCATGAGAATGGAAGTGGTTACTGCAGCTTTCCGCTGGCTAGAGAACACGACACACACATCGTAATTTTAACTGACTCAGAAAGCATGCTAAGGAAGGTCAGGACAGGCATGCTTCGTGCAGAGTGGCATGCTTCACTGCAGAGGACATGGGTGAGGAGTATTGTAGTTAGTGCCTTATGTGAGACTGTACAGTTCGGAGGAGCAGTGTATCACCACAGTCTGGTGAGATTGATGCAGGGGGGAGTGACGAGAGGTTCTGGCAGATGCTCAAGGCTCAGAGGAAAGGCACCATTAGTATTGGAACTCTTCACTGGCTGCTGAAGATGGGAATAGAGCGCTTTTGGGAATACCCTGAGTGCTGTGATGTCAGTTCTTGAATCAGTTCAACTCAACCTTCCTTGTAGTCTTCATGTTGATAGACTGTTAACATAAAATACATATTTTGTAATGATGCTATAAACAGACATAACATCAGAGTAGGACCGAGTGACGGAATTGGGGAAGTCCCTAGTGTGAGAGTCATGGGGATATGTCTGATTGACAGAACTGGGAAAGTTTATAATAACATGGGTTTTATGGGGAGATGGTGAAAAGACAATTGAGCAAGTCGCGTATGAATGTGAGATCTGGGGGATTGAGAATGAGGTGGTCATTCGGTGACTGGACCCCAGATTGAATGAAACGGAATTCAGAGTGATAAGTATGAATGTAGATCTCGATGAGAATCGAATGAAAGATAGTCCTGAATGACAAAGAGCAAAGCTGTGTTGAATAACTGTTTAAAACAGCAGTTGTGTTCTACGGCCTGTTGGTTATGCCAGTCGTGTACATGCCAGTGTCCTTCGTCTAAAGCCTGGCTAGAGACTTATAGCGTGAGCAAGGCGAGCTTGCCCGAATGGCTTAAATGATTAGTTCTGCTGTTGATTCTTGCTGCTTGTGTTGCATTGACAATAAACCTGTGAAGTGCTGTCAACTGTAGTCGACTGTCATTTAAAGACGTGTGACAGTTGGAGAGAAGTTTGGCTGTAATGAACTGTGACATAACACCAAGACAACAGAGCTAATGTTGAATCTGCACGAGGGAGATTAAGTGTAGAGGAGACACATTACATATATCATTTCCAAATTTGTTGTAAAAATATGTTCCAGAAGGTTTTTTCCCTAAATATCTCAGAATTACCGTGGGCCATGAAGAGGAAAAACATCGACATCTGATCCTGCATCAGATCTGTTCACTGAATAATTCAGACTGGACTCAGACTCATAAACAAACAGCATTGAATCCCAAAGGTTGAACTATATTTTAGCCATGTTAAACATCCAGGTTGCTGGAAACAAATTTGATGGAGGTTAAGGTTTCCAGAAAGGAGTCAGAGGCCAACCTCCCAAAAATGTGGAATACAGGACTTTCTGTAAGCACATAGGGCTAGAGAATGAGAGACTTTCAGTTGACCAATTGTGCCACGACAAGAACGACTTTCTTTAAAGAACCTGCTGATGAAGAGATATGTGGGACCCTAAATATTATATACAGATTATAAATATAAAATTGGCAAATGTCTGGTTTCACATGCATGTCTTGCAGCTGCTTTTTTGGGGAAAGTAGGGAAGTTCAAATCTGTGGCCTAATGATTATGAGCATAGTTTTATAATTTCAACATACTGGCTCTGATTCAGCTGCGTGTGATGTGGCAACAGGCTACTTTGCTTGAAAACTCTTGGTACATTTTTTTCAGGATCCTGGACAATAGAGAATTACAAATGAGCTGAAGCTTTTATGTTTGATAATTCTGTAGGTTTGTCAGCTGTGGACGACAGTGAGGACGTAAAGTGTTAGTTCTGCGTCGGCTCCTGATACAGCAGCTTCCTGTGTCACATTTATGGATCCTGAGTATGAAAAACGCTTGTTGCGACAGCAGAATGGACAGATGTCTCCATGTTCGGTAAATTAGTCTTCACTAATTAAAAAATTTTTTTTTTATCTTTCTGTTTCTGTCAGTGTGCCTGTCACATGGACACATAAACATTTATCTAGAATTAATCCTAGGTCTGTTGTATTTTTTCTTTTTAATTATTACATAGTAAATTTGACCAATGGGCTGCTGATAATGTTACCACACATAGGCAGCCAGATTTCTTAGCGTACTTTTAACAAAACGTACGATGTAAGAGAACCCAGTATGCCTTTACAACTTGTATTTACCACTTTTATGGTGTAGGCAGGTGGGTCTTTGGGCCTGCGGATGTAGGACTGCATAGCTAGTGCTGACACCCCCACCGACAGCAGGTAAGGATTGTATTATTACACCTATTATGGATCATGCTGATATTATTAATGCCCTCAGAGAAATGGGAAGAATAGAGGACTTTGGGATCAGTGAATCCACATCACTCGCCAGAATGGCAGACTTGAGAATTAAGATCGGCATAGCAAAAAACGAGACGCACACCAGAAGACTTGTTAATCAACATAGAACTGGTACTATTATCCATCGGGTGTTGACATTCACACTGAGGAGAGGATCTGAGCACCTATGGACATGTCCGCAGTGCAATGACGATAACCCAACTAACTAACTAACCAACTAACCAACCAGCCAACCAACCAACTAACTAACCAACCAGCCAACTAACCAACCAGCCAACCAACCAACTAACTTACCAACCAGCCAACTAACCAACCAACCAACCAGCCAACTAACCAACTAACCAACCAGCCAACTAACCAACCAACCAGCCAACTAACCAGCCAACTAACCAACCAGCCAACTAACCAACCAACTAACCAACCAGCCAACTAACCAACCAGCCAACTAACCAACCAGCCAACTAACCAGCCAACTAACCAACCAACTAACCAACCAGCCAACTAACCAACCAACTAACCAGCCAACTAACCAACCAGCCAACTAACCAACTAACCAACCAGCCAACTAACCAACCAACTAGCCAACTAACCAACCAGCCAACTAACCAACCAGCCAACTAACCAACCAGCCAACTAACCAACCAGCCAACTAACCAACCAACTAACCAACCAACCAGCCAACTAACCAACCAGCCAGCTAACCAACCAGCCAACTAACCAACCAGCCAACTAACCAACCAGCCAACTAACCAACCAGCCAACTAACCAACCAGCCAACTAACCAGCCAACTAACCAACTAACCAACCAGCCAACTAACCAACCAGCCAACTAACCAACCAACTAACCAACCAGCCAACTAACCAACCAGCCAACTAACTAACCAACCAGCCAACTAACCAACCAGCCAACTAACCAACCAGCCAACTAACCAACCAGCCAACCAACCAACCAGCCAACTAACCAACCAACCAAACAACCAACTAACTAACTTAAGCCCATCAGACAAAAATATCCCCAGCTTTACAAAGGATTCACGTCTCAATGTCTGACCCATTATGTGATGGTTGGAAAGAGTTGGTCACACATTCTGAGTGGCAGGTAAAAGTAAGTAAAGGATTCTTCAACTCATTGAGACATTTGTATGTCTATTATCCTGTTTCTCTAGACTAGTGAGCACTAAATGGTTGCTGTGTTAAGTATTGTGTCATTGGAGGTTAGATACAGGATTCTCCTATCTGATATAGTGCCAGTTTTAACATGTGGCTGCGAAATCCTGGACAGTTAGTAGACAAGCCAAACAGTTTCTTGAGGCCTCAGAAAAAAAAATCAGAAAAATCCTTAGAATTTCTTGCACAGCCAAAAATAGCAACCCAGATGTTTTGAAAGAGGTTAGAGCGCGAAGACAACTTTTCACAAACTTTTCATGTTATGAGAAGAAAACTGGAACATGTTGTGACCACTGGAAAGATCTGTGGAAAAAGGAGACAGAAGAAAACAACACAAGACGACACTTATCAGCCTTTTGACATGGCATAGAGAGGTGTCAACACACAAACTGGTACATGTTGTTGAAGATGGCAGGTTGTTATGAGGCATGATCACCAACGCAAGTCAGCAAGGCGCTGGATGATGATGATGGTAAGTATCACATCCGCTGCCTTTAGTTCCCAAAACATTTCCTGGCACTCATTTGTGGCTGGGTCGGGGTTGGAGTTCAGAGCAGTTAAACAACATTCTCATTAATGAGGATTTGAAAATATAACCATGGGCCAGTAGGCAAGCGCGCTGTCTGCCACACCACTGAATACTCTTTCTTTTTCTTCATGTTCACTGGCTGTAAACTTTTGCGGATATTTCTTGTTTGTCCACTTCTGTACATTAGTTTTGTTCCAGAACTTGAGTTTTTGCATGCACATCCAATTTACAGATCTGTCTTATATATAAGCGGACTGTTGGTTCTTTGTCTCTCAGGCAGATGCACTTTGACTACGAAGAAAACTCCCCTAATTAGTCTACTGTTAGGACATGATTGTTAGAGGACAGTAGATCTATTCTTTTCTCCTCCCTCCTGCAGTGAGGCTCAGGAACTAACAGGGGGAAGAATAATCTTAAACCTTTGGATAATGATCTAACCTCAAGAATTGATGTTTTTTTCTTGCAGCCTGGTGTGAGTCCGGTGGCATCTCCCAGTAAAAGGACATTTGGTGACAGATTTATTCCATCGAGAACGAGCCGATGCTGGAACTTAAACTTTGATGTACAGCCGGTAAGGAAAGGGCAGTAACAGGGTGGTTATATGTTTTTGTCTACATCTGGTAATGACATCATTACACACAGCTGGTCGATAACCATCTGTGAAATGCACTGGCTCCATAAGGTCATTAAGAACATAAGACAGTATAGGGTTACCAATAGCAACATTAGAGAGAGTTGGAATAAGACCATGTCTGATTTCTATTGACAGACAAAAAAATGTATGATTCAGTCATCTAGCGAGAATGCAGCCAGAGCCAGCTGTATATAAGATTTTTATTTTACAGCAGAACATCTGGGACGAAGGGGAGGGGAAGACCAAGACAAAGATGGATAAGTGGCATAGCTGAAACTTGCAGAAAAAGATGGACAAATCCATCACTTAAACCACCTGAGAATCACAAGACGAAAACAGAAAACCATGACACTGGGCCACAACCTGGTATCAGTGAGATACTGAAAGAAAAAGAAGATAGATTACACCTTTATGGTAATAATAGTATTGTAGATCTTCCCATGCCCTTTTTTTTAAATTCAGAAACCGTGAGTTGTTAACCCTTAAGCTTGGTACTATGGGTTTCGCAACCCTTCGACCCTGGTTCAATGATAGATACCGTAAATCTGGGAGAAATATGGTTTTTCAGCATATCCTCGGGTGTGAATCGACCACAAGGACCTGGTCACCCTCACCCTCTGGATGGCTATAGCAATCTGCACCTGTTAACAGTGGTTAAAAACAGATTTTAAAAATGGTGCTATCTCCACAATGGAGATTACTGCAGCATCCATTGCTGTCTTTAGAAATTACACTTTGACCCTCCAGTCTCTTCCACAGTATGACTCTCGTACTGCTGTCTAAAAGGTTTGGGAACAGTCATTTTTTTAAGCTGCCTGCCATAGAACTTGAACTCGACGATTATGAAAGATGCTTACCAACTTACCAGACACAAGTGGTCACTTTAGTATAACAACAAAGTATAGGCTTGCAAGCATTAATCTTTTTGGTTCTCTTTCTGCTCTAGGTTTTTAAATTCATATCACCCGGAATAAGTTAAGACACACTTCAGTAAAATCTGAAATTTGCGAAAGTATCATTAAACTGTTTTGGCAGTTTAGAGAGACTGAGCCAGATGGGATAAAACCGAGTGTAATGAAGTTGATGGTCTCACTTTTGCTCGTTTACTCACAAAAGTAATGTCTGCTCGTTCAAGTTTTTCATTTGTTTCTTCATTTCATTTAGTAATTCTATCTCCACACAGCAGACCCCAAGTACCACTCCCAGGTCCAAGGAAACAACGGCCGAAGCCTCCAAGGATGGATTAGCCTACGCTTGCCTTCTCAAGAACGAGCTCTTATCTGCAGGCATCGAGGATTTGAAGGTAATTATCTCCATGCAGGATATTCTAACCTATTTATTCACAGTGTTATCAAAGTAAAGAACTCTACGCCTTCATGTGTCTAGGGCTGGACCAATATTTTTTAGATTAGTCAGCACTCGGTGGGTGACAAGATCATCACCACACTGGCCGCCTTTACTTCCGAGGAGTTAACCTGGTACCTACTTAAGGTTGGGTCAACCTGAAGCCAAGATAATGTTTTAGAAAAGTAAAGCTCCGTCAGAGTCGAACCCACGATCTTTGGGTCCACAGGCAAGCGCCTAGCAGCTACACCACAGCGGCTGCCAATGTAAATAAAATTGTAGTTTAATTCTGTAGCTGGCAACTAGAGAGTCATGGTGGAACACTCTCCTACCGGAACAGTGGCCTTGAGTTCTCATCTCTTGCAAAACCAGTTGTTAAAAAAGATGCAGGGTCACAGGTCAACACTGTCAAAAATTGAGACCAGGAAATGCTCTGGTGATTAATGAGGATTATCATTACAGCCCTCGGGACAGATCCATAGCTGCTCCGATCTCTTCTACAGAAGTTCCACAAGCTCAAAACTACTGATGATGCCTGTTCTGTGTTAGTTAATCAGACATCTTGTCCATTTAGTGAAATGTTCATGTCTTGCTGCTGCAAGTTGCATCGCCCCATCCCTTCCCTTCATGGCCATCAGCCTAGACAGTGAGATGTTCATGTCTTGCTGCTGCAAGTTGCATCGCCCCATCCCTTCCCTCCATGGCCATCAGCCTAGACAGTGAGATGTTCATGTCTTGCTGCTGCAAGTTGCATCGCCCCATCCCTTCCCTCCATGGCCATCAGCCTAGACAGTGAGATGTTCATGTCTTGCTGCTGCAAGTTGCATCGCCCCATCCCTTCCCTCCATGGCCATCAGCCTAGACAGTGAGATGGAGTCATGCCCTATGCTGCATTCATCTTCTCAGTAAGCGCTGCCTGTGGTATTGATGACATCGCTTCTGTCCAGTAGATGACTGGTCATATCAGCAGTCTCGTTTCAGTGAGTCACCACAGGACACGAACCACATCACCCATCAAATGCTATTTGTCTCTAAAAACGGTTGGTGCGTTAACTAGCACCATATACCTTATTCCCCATCACCCCCTTCCCCGGTCATATTAGGGCATCGGAACTCACACAGGGACCACTGACATTCTGTAAAAACCCTGTCTGTTCATGTCTACTTTAAAAAAATATATTGTGGAAATTCTTGTGTGGTTTCAAAGGCCTCATTTTGGAGGAGGGAAAAAAGGACGTCATAAGTAGTGTTTAATTATTAATTTTCCTACAAAGTCAGTGCATCTGCCTCAATGGCAAAACCAGCAGACTACATACAAGTAAGCCAAACATGTAAAACCGATGTACACACGAAACTCAAATTCTGGAACATGATAGAAGTCCTGAAGTGGGTAAACAACCAGAACTTTCTGCTGGAGTTTACACATGATGAACGTGAAGAAGAGGAAGAATATTTGTTGTGGAAATAGGGCTTTACTATTTTTACATGGCAGCTCACTACACATTTCTCTGACTATATGTTTATTTGTTGCAATTTTATTTACAATGATTTATGTCACCTTCACTATATGTTTATTTGTTGCAATTCTATATATTCAATGATTTATGTCACCTTCACTGTATGTTTATTTGTTGCAATTCTATATATTCAATGATTTATGTCACCTTCACTATATGTTTATTTGTTGCAATTCTATATATTCAATGATTTATGTCACCTTCACTGTATGTTTATTTGTTGCAATTCTATATATTCAATGATTTATGTCACCTTCACTATATGTTTATTTGTTGCAATTCTATATATTCAATGATTTATGTCACCTTCACTGTATGTTTATTTGTTGCAATTCTATATATTCAATGATTTATGTCACCTTCACTATATGTTTATTTGTTGCAATTCTATATATTTAGTGATTTATGTCACCTTCACTATATATCACGAAAAATATGTATGCCATAGTTGGGCACATCATATCTAGGTTGGTTGCGTGGTGCACTTTTCACCAGTGAGCATCAGGGTAGAAGTCTCGTTACTGTTCATTTACCTTGTTCCGTACTATGGTTGTGTAACAACTGAACTGTAGCTGTATTATTCTTGTATATTTTACTTTGCTGCAAGAAATATTGAAATAAATAGTCCTATGTACGTATTCTTGTCCTTGCCAGGATTTGCAGACAGAGGACAAGACAGTGCTCAGTCCCAGAGAAACTAAAAATGTCTTCAAGGTAAGTTCTTGGAATATACATTCAAATGTTTATCAATATTTAACTCATTTTCTTTCAGAAGAAGAAATAGAAAACTTAAAACAAGTATTGCAGAAAACATGACAGGTCAGATGGTTTCTTTTATTCTTAGCGTTTACTTGCTGTGAGATTTTTAATGTGCATAACTTGCATGTTGTAACTTAGGTCATTCACCCTTATCTGAAAAGGCTAGGAATTTGATCTCACTACCCAAAAGATTGGAACACAGCTGACAAGAATAATGGACAAAAGATATAGAAGAACAAAGAGAGAAACAGTCATTGGCACGCTTATTGTTTCTTCCTCTTTCTGTGACCCTGATTCTATTGCTACTTCTTCTATTGCTACTGCTGCTACTTCTCCCACTGCTACTCCTGTTGCTACTTCTCCCGCTGCTACTTCTCCTGCTACTACTCCTGTTGCTATTTCTCCCGCTGCTACTCCTTTTGCTACCTCTCCCGCTGCTGCTCTATTTCCTGTGACTGTTGTTGCCACGCTTGCTGTTCCCCTTTTTAAATTGAAAATATGTCAGTGCTATCATTCAAATTAATTTGTTTAAAATATTTTGTTTTCCTCCAGTTCCATTCAGCAAGAAGAGTTTCCGACAGCTGTGACACATCACCTTATTCACTGTCACCTGTTGGCAGGAAAAGTCAGACACTGCTCAGGTCCCCACGGAAGGTAACACCCAACAGAAGCAACACATTGATATTTTAAGTCAAATAATACACTGTGAGGCCCCTATCTTTTCAAGGTCATTGTTGTGAATACAATCACATGTGGATGGAAGTTCAGCATCTCTGCTGTAGATGAACAGAGTGCAGATGGCAGGGAAAAAAATAACAACGGTGAAACGAAGAAGAAGAAATTTATGCTGTAGATGTTGTTGGACAATAAATGTGGCAGAAAAGAAACGGCTCGACACTGGGACATTGTGTTCTCTTATTGCGGGTTCCGGGGCTCCAATTTGAGGATAAGGGGGCAAGAATAGACTCGCTGTCTTTCCTACAAGCATGTGGTAAGAGTCAACGTATTGGGGGCTTCCTTCACAGTCGAAATGCATCAGCCTGAGAGGCAAGGAACCAACAGTCTGCATTGTAGATTCATAAAATGGATGTGTACACAACGCTCAGATTCTGGGACAAAACCGAAATCCAGAAGTGGACGAACAGTCAGAAATTTTCGGCCAGAGTTTACAGCTGGTGAACATGAAGAAGAGGCTTTTGTGTCCTTGTGAAGAAGCCATCAGGCCTGGTCTCACCTCAGCCCTGACAAAGCTGTTTGGTACGCAGGGAGATTTCAACAGCACGGTAGCTTTTATCAATGCTACTAATCTGATATGTTTTCTGAGAGAAGAATCGAAGAAGAAGAAGTAACCTGGTGTCTGTAGATTTTGGGAGCAGGGTGGTGTAGCGACATGACATTTGGCTGCTGCCTGAATGTCTAGGGTTCATATCTTCATCAAAGTGGATTTTATTTCAAAATTGACTATGGCTTCCCAGCCGACCTTGGTCGACCCAGCTTAAAATAGGTACTCGGTGATGTCCTGGAAAGTGAAGATGGCCGCTATGATGTTGACCTTACCCATCGAGTGCCAATGGCTCTGTAAAAACCATTGTACTGTATGCTTTATGCACCAGAGATAGGTAAAGTGTCTTTTACATAGCTTTTTTGTATGTAAAATTTAATTTTCTGATATACATGCAACAGTACCTGGCAGGTGATAGCCAATAACCTGATCTTATACTGATTTGTTTCAGGCTGTACGGAAAATATCAAAAATTCCTTTCAAAGTTCTGGATGCTCCTGAACTGCAGGATGACTTCTACCTCAACCTGGTGGATTGGTCATCTCAGAATGTTTTAAGTGTGGGTCTAGGGACATCTGTCTATTTGTGGAGTGCTTGCACAAGCCAGGTACTTGTAGATTTCATAAATACATATCCTTCGTTGGGGACCCATTTTCTACTTCTGCATTCATACTTACAAGGGTGGTTGGCATGTTATATTGTGGTTCACATCTAGGCTGCAATATTGGTTCCTTTTATTCCAACACAGGATTTTAACAAATCTGTAATTAGTAACATTTTACAACATGCTTGCTAAGAAGCAGTGGAGCCCCCTCCCCACTGCCCCCCCAAATGGGGCCAGAAGCCACAGGGAAGGAGAACTTTAAAATCATTGAAATAGCCTGAAAAATAAATAGAGATTAGAGGTCACATACGACAATGTAGGTATTGAAAATTAAAATGTCAACATCACAATCGCCTACGAGTCCCAGCTGACAACTACCTGGCTGATGCAAGAAGCGCTTTGATGTATGGCCATTTAGGCATGTGTGATTGTACATGATTCATCAAGATTAATGTGTGATTGTACTTGATTCATCAAGATTATTCCTTAGCTTTGTGCCAGGGCCTGAGTTTTGCATCTACATCTGTTTTTATTGGCTTTCTTGTGTGCAGATGGTTATTCCTTGCCGCTTGGGCAGATGCACACTGACTTCGAAGAAAGTTTTCAGTTTAGTCGACTATGACTACATGCTTAATGGAGTGACAGTGTGTCTGTTCTTGTTTTCCCTACAATGGGGTCCAGAATACACACTGGGAAAGTTGCCTCTCAGTAGGACTCTCAGTCGACAGATGTTAGAACCAAGGTTTCTCATTAATTGGGACTCTCCATCGACATTTGTTTGAATAAGATCTTTCAAGGCAAGTCTGGTTTTATCTACCACATTCACATCCCAGTTAAATTGTTTCTTTTCGTAGTTTAGACAACACATTTCTGATTCTTCATCGTCAATCAGACTGACGTAAATATTTTGCCTGTTTTACAACATGGCTACCATGTTTGTGCCTTTCAGCCAACGCATCCCACTTCTTTAGACATTTCATTTCCAGGACGGCTTTCCTGGTTAGTTTAGTGGGACATTTTACAGCCTCATTTATGTGGTGGCTTCCCCTGATCTGCAGATGTTGTTCATAAAGGATCTGTCCAGGACAGCCGCATGCTGACTGGTTGGCCCTCAAGGAAAGGCAGGGACAGAACATAAGTTTCCCCCCCACCATCCAAGGAGGTGCAGATATTGCAGCCTAGGTGTAAATCACAACACAATGTTCCAATCGCCCTTTTATGGACAAATGCAAGAGGAGGAAGTATAGATGTTTGTTTCACAACTTTACAGCTCTGGTATTTTCCACAACCAGGCAAGCTAATAACTACATGTGTTTATTGTCATTCGCAGGTGACCCGCCTGTGTGACCTCTCCACGGATAACGATACAGTGACAGCTGTTTCCTGGTCAGAAAGGGTAAGGTCAAACAAATACATCAAAACCTTACTGCGACAAAGTTTTCATGTTTATTGTTTATAGTAATGACCCCAGAAAAAAATTCATGACATATGAATTTGAGGTTTTTATCAGTTTCTTCAAAGACATCCATTTTTGTTCTGTCGTCTTTGGCACCCTTGGACCTGTACAAGTTCATCCTTTTATCACACTTCCCTCGACAAGAAGAAGAAAAGTAATAAAAATGTTTTTATTTATATTTGTTTTTTTTTTATATTTCCTCTATAATTTTTCTGATAAACTAATGTTGAGTCTTTCTTGTGTGTATGTTTTTGTTGTAAACTGTTTGTTGGCTCTGTATTTGTATAATGTTTGCCAGAAATTGTTCAGTTCTTTATATAATGTTTATTGTAAACTGTTTGTTGGCTCTGTATTTGTATAATGTTTGCCAAAAATTGTTCAGTTCTTTATTTAATGTTTATTGTAAACTGTTACTGAGCCTGTGGTATATTTGCAGGGCAGCCAAGTGGCCGTGGGAACTAACAAAGGTTACGTACAGATCTGGGATGTGGCGGTCAGCAAGAAAGTACACACCTTGACAGGACATGGGGCAAGAGTGGGTCAGTGTTGTATTTAGAACTGATACCTGTTTATACAGCTGGTTTTAAAAGAACCTAAAGTATGTGTCCACTTTTTATGATTGGTACCAGATATTGTCACTTACAGCAAACAGGAAACATAAATTAGTAACCATGGAGATGAGATGTTTGAGAAGGGCTGCAGGAGTGACCAGAACAGATAGAATCAGGAGTGGGGTCATAAGAGATAAAATTGGAACACAACCAATCGTAAATGCCATACCATACAAGACATACACTAAAAGAGGAGAAGGATGCAGTGCATAAGGTAGACCAAGAACCATATGGAAAGATAACATCAGTGAAACTCCTACAGCAGCACAATGTGTCTGTGTTCAAGGCAGCCAGAAGAGCAAGAACTAAAACCTTACATTACCCACGCTGCCGGAGCAGTAAAAGAGGAAGAGAAGAAGAAGATAACAGGATTAATTTGATTAGCTCCGTCAAGCTAACATGTATTAAAAAATTTTCCAATATTTTATCGCAATCACCTGATTTTGATACTTTTTTTTCGTGTTTTTGTTGTTGTTTCCTTTTCTGATGTGTATCTTTTTTACGTTCACCAGCTGTAAACTCAGATGGAAAGTTCTGGTTGTTCGCCCACTTCTGGACCTTTGGTCTTGTTTCAGAACTTGAGTTTTATAAGCACATCCATTTTACAGATCTGCTTTATTTGTATGCAGACAGTTGGTTTCTTTCCTCTCAGGCAGATGCACTCTGATTTAAAAAGAAATCCCTAATTAGTCAACTCTTAAGACATGCTTGTTGCGGGGGAGATTATCCGAAGCCCAAATAACACAGAATCACCACTTGCTAGATGAGATGCCTAAGAAAAGCCGTAAACATGTTCATCCCAGAATGAGTAAGTCATGATACTATCAAACAAATTATGGGAACAACACCTTATACTAGATTCACCCAGAAACAACAGATCAAAAAGTTTGGCCATCACTGTGAAATGCTGGAACTTCAAATACCATCACAAGCATTACATCTCAGAAGATCAGCTACAAGAGCAAGAGGATGGCCACAAAAAAATGGATTGACATTATTAAAGAGATTTTACACCTTCACAGCATGATAATATCCAGCCTGCACTGGTTTGCAAATTATTCCTCCCCTTGAAGCTTAATGTCAGAAGTGGTTTGTGATGAAACATTCTAGAAAAGTGACAGATAAACAGCATCATTTCTCGGAAATTAAAAAAACGTTGGCCATATTGAATGTCAAAGTTGCTTAGAAAGCCCACCACTGGAGGTCTTGGCTCCTGGCAGGAGAACTAGGGGCTGGCCAGCACGATAGGGAATCTAGGTTAATAAAGGCTCTTTGGGTATGAGAATGTTTAGGCAGGGGGACCTGGTAAAGAAATGAGCATCTTTGCAGCTGTTTGTGGTGCTAATAACTTACCTCTCAGGCTGCATTCTGAAATTCCTGAATGTTTGTTACTAGGCTGTCTTTACAATACCTGAATGTTTATAACCAGGCTGTTGTTACAGTACCTTAATGTTTGTAACTAGGCTGTCGTTACAGTACCTTAATGTTTATAACTAGGCTGTTGTTACAGTACCTTAATGTTTGTAACTAGGCTGTCGTTACAGTACCTTAATGTTTTTAACTAGGCTGTTGTTACAGTACCTTAATGTTTGTAACTAGGCTGTCGTTACAGTACCTTAATGTTTATAACTAGGCTGTTGTTACAGTACCTTAATGTTTGTAACTAGGCTGTCGTTACAGTACCTGTGTTAACTTTGATCATTTCAGGTGCCTTAGCCTGGAATGGGGACATGCTGTCCTCTGGGAGTCGGGACAGGTTGATCCTACAGAGAGATGTTCGAACCCCCTGCATAACCCCCGAACACAAGCTAGTGGGCCACAAGCAAGAGGTTTGTACAACAGGAGTCAGATGTTATCTTGTGGTTTAGCTCACATAATCACAGGTGTTCCGTTCAGGTTATCTGAAATATGAGCTGTGAGTTAGGGACCAACATCATAGTAATCGGGACATTCTTTGTCCCCATCTTCAGCAGCAAACAATTTCAAAAACAACAAACAGTTCTAATTCTGATGCCAGCAGGAACAGTCATCTGTGTGTCCATCGTGCCCCTCCACTGTGCTGAGCGCCAGCCAGATCCCCTGTTCACCCCCCCCCCCCCCCCCCCCCCCCCTCCACTCAACCATTCAGCCAAGTTCTAAATATGATTTTACCTTAGTGAGGTTATTGTAATATCTTTTCTCACCACCTCCCAAGGATAAGTCTCTGCATGGCCTGTGTTGCCGAGCTCTCACCCAAAAGGATGGACAAGAACCCTAGGAAACTTTATATCTGGTGAGAAGAATGTTCGGGCACCACGAGGTCATGATCAGCAGAGCACAATGTCTAGCTAGGAATAACCTTAACCTGGTTATGTTGGTGAAACTACTACAAGGCGGTCTGCTGCCGAATCACCTGCAGCTGTGATTGAACCCAGCACCTTGAAATAACGAGGATGTTTGCAACGCTGTATAAATGAAAGGAGCCGGAAATAAAAAGCTGAACTGTTTATATCCTGACAAGGTCAAGAGATTTCTGTGAGCTCAATGATGCTAGAGCCATGCTGAATATCAGCATTGACACTGATCATCAAACCCCCAGTTACCAGGACTACCTCGTAGAGGATGTCACTCTTCGACACGCACAATGATCTTGAGGTACGAGAGGTTTTGCTAGGTCAAGAGGCTGACACCGCAATGGACGTTCCTTTCATGAATAGAGATATTCACTAGACCTAGGATGAAGTAAGGGGGGGGGGGGGCCACTACCCACAACACCAGCACTTCTTACCCTCTGCCTTTCGAGGCTCAGTCCCACACACACGTTAGAATAAAGCAATGTAACACTGAAATAATTAAATGGCAAGAATGAGACAACACAGATATGAGAAAAACTTATCAAGAAATATTACAGCATAAGTGTGAAGCGCTTTCAAAAAATCTTAGGAGAGCTGCCTGTGTGACAAGATAAAATCAAGAACGGAGAAATTGGAAGAAGACTAGGACTGAAACCAGTCACCCAGTTCATTATAAAACAACAAATGAGATGGTTTGGCCACCTGATGAGAATGCCCTGGTACCAACTGCCACAGAGAGCAAAGCTGAAAAAATATAAGGAACACAGAGCAAGAGGAAGACTATGCACAAGATGGAGCGGCAACATCAGGAGCAACCTAACAGAAATGAACACCAGCTTGTACACTGCATTAGGAAAAGTGCACAAACAATCCTTACATCTCCCACCAACACTTCGCTGAGGTAAATGGTGAAAGAGAAGAAGAAGAAGTTTGTAACCCCTACGCCACAGATGCCAACCAAACACTATTATTACCTGTTTGACATCGATCAGTCATTATCTAGAGCCATTACTTCGTTTAACAATCTCTTCTGCCATTTTCTATCTTCTAGGTTTGCGGCCTAAAATGGTCACCTGACCACCAGCACCTCGCCTCAGGTGGCAACGACAACCGCCTCTTTGTTTGGAATGCTACCAGCACCACCCCGGTGCAGACGCACATGGAACACCTGGCTGCGGTAAAGGCTATAGCTTGGTCACCTCACCAGCACGGCCTGCTAGCCAGTGGAGGGGGAACCGCTGACCGCTGTATACGGTTCTGGAACACACTGACTAGTCAGCCCTTGCATTGTGTAGATACAGACTCTCAGGTGTGCAACCTGGCGTGGTCAAAACATTCTAATGAACTGGTGAGTTTGGAAGTTTTGTGTGTATGTGTTTGTGTACATTTAGCCTGCACATGCAGATTTCTTCTGGCATGTGTTAACTGCTAGTTTCCTAGTAGGCTTTTAGGAGATTCTTCTGCCCCTGAATGACTGGTGTCATTCTCACTGTTATGTCTACAGATTATCTTCCCACCATTTTGTAGCAGGCACATGACTTCTCAAGGACCCAGCACATGGGCATTGCTTGCAGTTCAGGGAAGCTTCATAAGTGTAGAGGCCACACATGATATTCAGATATAGGCCTCACCCAAGAAACTCACACATGATACTCCGATGGACTTGCCCAAGATACTCACACACGATACTCAGATGGACTTGCCCAAGAAACTCACACATGATACTCAGATGGACTTGCCCAAGAAACTCACACATGATACTCAGATGGACTTGCCCAAGAAACTCACACATGATACTCAGATGGACTTGCCCAAGAAACTCACACATGATACTCAGATGGACTTGCCCAAGAAACTCACACATGATACTCAGATGGACTTGCCCAAGAAACTCACACATGATACTCAGATGGACTTGCCCAAGAAACTCACACATGATACTCAGATGGACTTGCCCAAGATACTCACACATGATACTCAGATGGACTTGCCCAAGAAACTCACACATGATACTCAGATGGACTTGCCCAAGAAACTCACACATGATACTCAGATGGACTTGCCCAAGAAACTCACACATGATACTCAGATGGACTTGCCCAAGAAACTCACACATGATACTCAGATGGACTTGCCCAAGAAACTCACACATGATACTCAGATGGACTTGCCCAAGAAACTCACACATGATACTCTGACTCACCCAAAAAAAAAACACACGATACTCAGATGGACTCACCCAAGAAACTCAGACATGATTCTCAGATGGACTCACCCAAGAAACTCACACATGATACTCAGATGGACTTGCCCAAGAAACTCACACATGATACTCAGATGGACTTGCCCAAGAAACTCACACATGATACTCAGATGGACTTGCCCAAGAAACTCACACATGATACTCAGATGGACTCATCCAAGAAACTCACACACGATACTCAGATAAGGGACTCACCCAAAAAACACACATGACCTGCAGACAGTTACCTAACTCACTTAAATAGCTAGGGTGTCTTGTTCATCTTCAGAAGTCAGCGGGATGCAGCTCATGAACATGGGAATTTAGTGACCTCTGTGAGAAGTGACCATGTGACAGACTGCTGTACCAGCTAGAAATGGCATGCACCCAACCCATTGAGTCAAGAAAGAGCTGTCTGCCAAGCCTTTCTCTTTCTCTGTAAATATTAGGGAAACCGGTGAAAAGTTATCATGACGTTTTCATGAACATCTTATGGATATTCACTGTGCGACTCTTAAACCAAATCAAATTCAACATCTCTGTTACTGTCACAACATTTCTTGATAACGGATGTGCAGTCAGAACTCAAGTTGTGGAACAAGACCAAAGTCCAAAGACTTTCTGGATATTTTGGTCTGGAACTTACAACTTTAGCATGCTTTTCCATGAAGGTGAGCTTCCTTATTTCAGGGTCAGCCAAGACCTAATCTGTAGGACAGTGGATGTTTTTGATTACAGTTCCTTCTCCTAGATGGAATGCTGTCTCCAGCTGATGAGCTGCGTCTGCTTGGTGTATATGTTACCTGACAGAAAGAGGTTTTATAAAAGAATTGGTGGGGAGGGGGGGGGGGGGTAGAGAACTTCAACCCACAACCTGCTTTGACCTGCCCAGCTCGGGCGACCCTGCATAACTCTCATGGTCATTGAAAATCTAAATTTCCCCCACCTCTTCTTCTTAAAGTCCGTGACGTTGGTAGTCATGTCTATCCATAACCTTTAGTCACATGTACTTTCAGTCAACTCTGACACAGACGATTCTCCATGCCATGCTGTCAGACTGGACAGCATCTTTTCCCTCGGTCTCCCTCTGCCTCTCCTCCCTTTCAACTTTGCTACTGTCACAGTGTACTCCAGTTTTCTCCTTATTATCACATGACCAAAGAATGTAGACTGTCTCTTTCTGATGTGGTCAATCAGTTCCCCCACTGTCTCTTTCTGATGTGGTCAATCAGTTCCCCCACTGTCTCTTTCTGATGTGGTCAATCAGTTCCCCCACTGTCTCTTTCTGATGTGGTCAATCAGTTCCCCCACTGTCTCTTTCTGATGTGGTCAATCAGTTCCCCCACTGTCTCTTTCTGATGTGGTCAATCAGTTCCCCCACTGTCTCTTTCTGATGTGGTCAATCAGTTCCCCCACTGTCTCTTTCTGATGTGGTCAATCAGTTCCCCCACTGTCTCTTTCTGATGTGGTCAATCAGTTCCCCCACTGTCTCTTTCTGATGTGGTCAATCAGTTCCCCCACTGTCTCTTTCTGATGTGGTCAATCAGTTCCCCCACTGTCTCTTTCTGATGTGGCCAATCAGTTCCCCCACTGTCTCTTTCTGATGTGGTCAATCAGTTCCCCCACTGTCTCTTTCTGATGTGGTCAATCAGTTCCCCCACTGTCTCTTTCTGATGTGGCCAATCAGTTCCCCCACTGTCTCTTTCTGATGTGGTCAATCAGTTCCCCCACTGTCTCTTTCTGATGTGGTCAATCAGTTCCCCCACCTCGACAAGGTGGATGCCTTCACAGGAGACGTTGGGTTCCAATGAAAAGATTTATAAAATTATTGGATTTTCATCAGTGTGTCCCTTAACTGTCTAGCGTCCTTTCCTCACTTCTTTATACTCAGATCTCAGGTGGGTTTCAGGAACCCATTTAGGAGAAGAAAACAAGCATGTCTTAGGAGGCAACTAAGGGTGTTTCCTTCAAATATGGAGTGCATCTGCCTGAAAACCCAGAATTAAGTCTGCATACAAAAAAGCCCGACCTGTAAAATAGATGTGTACACAAAACTCTAGTTCTGGATCAAATTCAAAGTCCAGAAGTGGACAGACAATCAGAACTTTCCGTCAGAGTGTACAGCCAGTGAGTGCTCAGAAGAAGATTTACTAAAATTTGTTTAGACATCTCCGTAAGCACCTCAGTAGTAATTTTGTCATTTGATTTTATCCCTTCTGTCCTGCACAGACAACATTTAAAGTTTACCTGTTGATGTGCAATAATTTCAGGTAAGCACTCATGGATATTCTCAGAACCAGATTCTGGTGTGGAAATACCCATCTCTCGTCCAGATAGCCAAACTGACAGGTCATTCTTTCCGGGTCCTGTACTTGGTAAGTATAATGTCGTTGCGTTATCTTGTACTTGGTCAGTCTTGTGGTCTATCATTGTTTCTGTGTTTTGTCCTGGAATGGCCAAAGATTGTTTTCTGAGTTTTCAAGAGCCGACACCACAGCATTTGCGGCATTCCCACGAGCGCTCTGTCCCCCATCTTTTAGCAGTCAGTACAGAGTTCAAATACCAGTAGTACCAGTGGCAGTCTGATTATCTGTCAATCTTGATTTTCTTCTGAGCGCCGAGCATCGGCCAGGTCCCCTGGTCACTCCTCGCTGTTCACCAGACTGTGATGATTCATTTGCTACTACAGATTATACATGTTCTCCCATTAGGCTTTGACCACGTCTGCCTTATCATGCATAAGTGTTCAAACGTTGACCATTAGCGTTTGCCAAGAACCCCAGTAAGCACTTCTTGTGCCTCTTGACACTGAACTATTTGTATAAATAATCTCATCACTGGAGCGAGCATTATCATAAAGTAATTGCTGAATTTCCACTTCCCTGGGACTTGATGGTGACTTTTGGTCCTGGAAAGACTTAAGATTGTTTCCTTGTTGTGTCCTGGAAAGACCTAAGATTGTTTCTAGTTCCTGTGTTTGTTAATTTTACAAATTTGGAAGTTATATGTAAATTTATACTGTAATTCTAGATACAACTAGTTTCGTGATGCAAAATCCATTAATGGGTTTGGGGTACTTAATTTATAACTTACCCCTGACGTCACGACAACATCACGTAAGACATTCCCAATCAATTCTAAGGTGTTCAGGTTGAAGTTTCTCGCTATTTATCTACAGCCAAGTTTAGGGTTTGGGTTAGGATTAGAAGACACTATATGGACACTCAAAAAAAAAAAAAAAAAAAAAAAAAAAAAAAAAAAATAGCACACTTCCACCCCTGTAAATAATGGACTGTCAGGTCAGCTGTGGATTTCCCACGGGGATTTCGTGTTTGGGGTACGTTATAAATTAAGAACCGGGTTTGGTGCGCAATTGGGAGTGGCAGAATTATCCCTTGGTTTGCCATGATTGTATTGCATCTGCTGGTTTCCTTTGTTACAGGCGGTGTCTCCAGATGGGGAAGCCATTGTGACAGGAGCAGGGGATGAGACGCTGAGATTTTGGAATGTCTTTAGCAAAACTAGATCTACCAAAGTAAGCATTGTGTGTCTGAGATTTTGGAATGTCTTCAGCAAAACTAGATCTACCAAAGTAAGCATTGTATGTCTGAGATTTTGGAATGTCTTCAGCAAAACTATATCTACCAAAGTAAGCATTGTGTGTCAGATTTCGGAATGTCTTAAGCAAAACTTTATCTACCTAAGTAAGCATTGTGTGTCAGATTTTGGAATGTCTTAAGCAAAACTTTATCTACCAAAGTAAGCATTGTATGTCTGAGATTTTGGAATGTCTTCAGCAAAACTATATCTACCAAAGTAAGCATTGTGTGTCAGATTTTGGAATGTCTTAAGCAAAACTTTATCTACCAAAGTAAGCATTGTGTGTCTGAGATTTTGGAATGTCTTAAGCATAACTATATCTACCAAAGTAAGCATTGTGTGTCAGATTTTGGAATGTCTTAAGCAAAACTTTATCTACCAAAGTAAGCATTGTATTTCTGAGATTTTGGAATGTCTTCAGCAAAACTATATCTACCAAAGTAAGCATTGTGTGTCAGATTTTGGAATGTCTTAAGCAAAACTTTATCTACCAAAGTAAGCATTGTGTGTCTGAGATTTTGGAATGTCTTAAGCAAAACTATATCTACCAAAGTAAGCATTGTGTGTGTGAGATTTTGGAATGTCTTCAGCAAAACTATATCTACCAAAGTAAGCATTGTGTGTCTGAGATTTTGGAATGTCTTCAGCAAAACTAGATCTTACAAAGTAAGCATTTTGTGTCTTGAGATTTTGGAATGTCTTCAGCAAAACTAGATCTACCAAAGTAAGCATTGTATGTCTGAGATTTTGGAATGTCTTCAGCAAAACTAGATCTACCAAAGTAAGCATTGTTTGTCTGAGATTTTGGAATGTCTTCAGCAAAACTAGATCTACCAAAGTAAGCATTGTATGTCTGAGATTTTGGAATGTCTTCAGCAAAACTAGATCTACCAAAGTAAGCATTGTGTGTCTGAGATTTTGGAGTGTCTTCAGCAAAACTAGATATATGTGTTAAATTATTTGTAAGATATCTATCCTATTTTGCTAGTTAGTGTTGAATTACTTGTAATATATCCATCCATATTTGCTTGTTTAAATCTGCCATGATGGCTTTTCATTTCCTTAATTATTTCTTGACATATTATTGATGATTTTGCACGTACATTCAAGCTTCTGCTACATGTGGTTCATTTACTGATTTCATTTTGTTTCAGGAATCCAAGTCTGTGTTGAATCTCTTCACCCGAATCAGATGAGAGAACTTACAGTTCTCCCCGTCAGGTCCACCAAAGTGCCCACCCAGTGTTCAACTTTTAATCTCCACTAAAAGACTGGCTTTAGTTTGATAGTTTCATAAATTATTTAACCGCCTAGATCACAAGTATATGGATGTGCTAGAGATGTGGTTTTATAGATCAGTGGCGAGAGCACTTTTGATAGATACAGTGAGTAAAGAAGATAATTGTTTTAAGTAAATTAACTCACAAAGAGAATTTATTACCCATATCAGAAGGAGAGAGGGTACATTCTTTCGTGACAAGTAAAAGAAAGCTGGAGTACCTCTTGGGAAAGTTAGGGAGGAAAAGAAGCTGAGGGGAACAAGAGAGAAGAGGTTTGACATTATGGCATGGAAGATCTTCTGTGTCAGAAGTGACTGAAAGTACCAGTGACAGAAGGCTGTGGGGGGGGGGGGGGGGGGGCGTGACTACCAACAACACCACATGGCATGGATTATGAGAAGTTTTGTAAATGTTGGCTTCATATTTGTTAAATACTTAAGTTTATCTGGCATGAGGGCAGTCAGTTTGTATTTTTGAAATCTTTTTCATATAAAAGTGCAGATGATCAGATTTTATCATCAAGTAAATTTGAGAGAAAAAATGTAACACATTTTTTTTAAAAACTTGTGTAGATAAAAAAAATTTTAAATAAAATAATATTAAAATGGATAGAAGTGAAATAAAATTCTTTTATGGCATGACAATTTACCTTTTCAGACTCAGTTACAGAACCACCTTCTCTTGCTCGGTCTTTTGAGTTATTTAACTTTTGATTATTGCATGAAAGCATTAATCACAATCTGCTTATGATGATACCTAAGATTATGTTTGTACCTGGTGACATGTTCTTATTTTTGGGGGTTTGTTCTAGCATGGCAGCTGAAGTCAAGAACAGGTTTCTCTGTTGAGGGGGGGGGGGGGGGTATGTTCTTAAAGATGACTTAATTAAAGGTTTGCTGAAATGAGGATTGTGTGCAGAAGGGTGGCACAGGTCTCACAGAATTGTGTGCAGAAGGGCAGCACGGGTCTCACAGAAATGTGTGCAGAAGGGCGGCACGGGTCTCACAGAATTGTGTGCAGAAGGGCGGCACGGGTCTCACAGAATTGTGTGCAGAAGGGCGGCACGGGTCTCACAGAATTGTGTGCAGAAGGGCGGCACGGGTCTCACAGAATTGTGTGCAGAAGGGCGGCACGGGTCTCACAGAATTGTGTGCAGAAGGGCGGCACGGGCCTCACAGAATTGTGTGCAGAAGGGCGGCACGGGTCTCACAGAATTGTGTGCAGAAGGGCGGCACGGGTCTCACAGAATTGTGTGCAGAAGGGCGGCACGGGTCTCACAGGATTGTGTGCAGAAGGGCGGCACGGGTCTCACAGAAATGTGTGCAGAAGGGCGGCACGGGTCTCACAGAATTGTGTGCAGAAGGGCGGCACGGGTCTCACCGAATTGTGATGGAGGGGACAGTTTGTGAAAAACGATGCAGAGCCAGACCTGCACGAAACATGAACACAAGACATGGAAGATTCATTGGCTGTGAGAGCACATAGGGCTGAAAAATTGGCTAGATAGAGACTTTCAGGTGTGCCTTGATGGGAGCTAAATTCTTTAAAGGATCAGCTGATTTATTTATGATAGGGATGTTGGTCTGGGTACGGCCGGCAGGATCTGAAATTTCCTGCTTTGTGTATACACAGACCCTCTCCTATACAGATCTTTTATGTAAAGTAATGTAACCTTTTCATGTAGTGGCGCATCAGGCATAGAGTGTTATACCTCTAGTTTATAGACTAGTTGGCAGTCCATATATGGCATGGTTAACGTCACCTCAGCCGCTTTCTCTTCCCAGGACATTCCCCAATATTCATTTTGAGCCACATCAGCCTGGGAGCCAAGGTCCGTTTTCAAGAAGAAAGATCTGCCTTAATATGGATTTAAACTCTTTACCTTTGGGCCAGTAGGCAGGATTAGTCATTCCGCCTCTGCAGCTCTTCTTTTGTGTATATAAAATAGTAAAGATCCCTTTTCACGCCTTAAGGCGAATCGGGCATATGAGAAGAGCATCCCATATTTTTACAGACCATCGGTATGTGCCATGGGTAATGTGGTCAGCATTACGCCGGCTGCCTTTACTTCCCCAGGACTTTTGTGTATATAAGCTGTACATATTGATTGACTTCTCACTGTTAAACATTGCTGGAAAAAGATCTAGCTGTGATCATTATGGTGGATAGGCAGGTTTACTGTTTTTAGTCATGGCAAATTTTTGCTTATGACAGTAGGCTGTTGCATTTTCCTCCATGTGTAGATTGAAAGTATAGTTCCGTCGGCCAGCTACTGAGTTGTGTGTATGGTGTGACACTGAGCTGTGGATTCTATTTGGAATGCGTTACGACTGCCCAGTGTGCTTTATGTTGTCAACTGCAGATTCAGAAAAATGGCAAGTGGCCTGTTGCCAGAGAACTTGTGCCTTATGCAATTAATTGCATGTGCAACTACTGATCTGTTGCAACTGCTGCTTGAACTGCATTTCTAGTGTTGGCACTTCTGACTTCTACCTTATGCATTTTTTGCACATTTCTGCTTTTGGATTTGTTAAGACTGCAGTATGTGTCCATTCTTTTCAACAAGAGACAATAGAGATTCTGTGTAGTTTTGGTTGGCGCAGGGACGGAAAACCCATGGGGGGACTTGTTTGCCGTGAGGTTGGAACTGGGATAACTTGATCAAGTTCTGTGTGTGGGCAACAGCGTTGGACTTGAAAGGTTGGAACTGGGATAACTTGATCAAGTTCTGTGTGTGGACAACAGCGTTGGAACTGGGATAACTTGATCAAGTTCTGTGTGTGGACAACAGCGTTGGAACTGGGATAACTTGATCAAGTTCTGTGTGTGGACAACAGCGTTGGAACTGGGATAACTTGATCAAGTTCTGTGTGTGTGGACAACAGCGTTGGGACTGGGATAACTTGATCAAGTTCTGTGTGTGGACAACAGCGTTGGAACTGGGATAACTTGATCAAGTTCTGTGTGTGGACAACAGCGTTGGAACTGGGATAACTTGATCAAGTTCTGTGTGTGGACAACAGCGTTGGGACTGGGATAACTTGATCAAGTTCTGTGTGTGTGGACAACAGCGTTGGGACTGGGATAACTTGATCAAGTTCTGTGTGTGTGGACAACAGCGTTGGGACTGGGATAACTTGATCAAGTTCTGTGTGTGGACAACAGCGTTGGGACTGGGATAACTTGATCAAGTTCTGTGTGTGGACAACAGCGTTGGGACTGGGATAACTTGATCAAGTTCTGTGTGTGTGGACAACAGCGTTGGGACTGGGATAACTTGATCAAGTTCTGTGTGTGTGGACAACAGCGTTGGAACTGGGATAACTTGATCAAGTTCTGTGTGTGTGGACAACAGCATTGGGACTGGGATAACTTGATCAAGTTCTGTGTGTGTGGACAACAGCGTTGGAACTGGGATAACTTGATCAAGTTCTGTGTGTGTGGACAACAGCGTTGGAACTGGGATAACTTGATCAAGTTCTGTGTGTGTGGACAACAGCGTTGGGACTGGGATAACTTGATCAAGTTCTGTGTGTGGACAACAGCGTTGGACTTGAGAGGTTGGATTGCTAAATGGTTTCGTTATCTGACAGCAGTATCTGTAGATCAAACATGTCCAGTATGGTTGTTGTCACGGCTGGATGAAGGACAAGAAACAAGATGATTGAATTGGGTTGTTTGACCTTACAAGAAAAAAAATATGATGGAAATGTGTTGTTTGACCTTACAGTAACATGTTTATTTTAAGGACCATTTATATGCCAGCGGCTCATCATGTATGTGATGGTAGACTCACATCTTCATAGAGCAGTCGCAGTATGTCTGACCCAGGGAAGAAACAAAAGGTTAACTGACTGACATATGAATGGTTAAATTCCATCATTTATTTTCAGAGCAAAACTTTGTGGGTATACCTGTACACCTCCCACCAGACATAAACTGTAATAATAATAATGTGTATATTTTGATGCCTGTGATTTGTTCCATTAAAATATCTGTATATTAGCAAGTTTTGCAGTTATTTTTGATAAATAATTTAGTCTAAACTTGTCCTTTGCGTTTTGTTTGATGCATCTAATGCCTGGGCATCTGAATTCAGCTAATGGTTTTGTTCATCTGCACATTTAAGAAGGTTACAGCGCGACCGTGTTAACTAGGAAATCATACGAAAGGTGATTTCAGTGGCCAACTAATTAAACTGTTAGTCTTGTTCTGTAAAGGTTGTTAACTGTTGGACTCTGTTAGCTGTTTTATAGATCCCTGGGGATTGTTGCTGGAGCTACAGACTTTGTGCTTTATGCAGCACTAATACAGGTGACCAATTTCTCTGACAAGAAAGACCAAGACAATTGGGATACAACCTGAGTGAAGTCAGTCCTCTCGTCTTTAAGCTACCGCTTTCTTATGTAATAATCTCCAGGCGGATCTTGGAAGGAACAGAGTAGAACATCTTCCCTTCATCAAGCAGGTCATGAAAGGGAACTAACAACATCTGACAAGATGGAGGAAAGGCTGTGCAGGTATCACAACCTAGCTGTAAATCACAACACAACTAGCCAGCCAACCGCTATTTTAAGGATATACCCCCCCCCCCCCTTTTCCCCCATGTTTTTTAAATAGAAGTTGCCATTTGAAGATGTCAAGTGCAGAGCATGCACTCAGTAGCGGGTGAGGAGCAAGACTGATATACCCTCGGACTGCTAGTAGAACTCTGGACTCTCTGAAAAATATGGAGTCGAAGCAGTTTTGAGAACAAACTGTGCAAGTGAGTCATTTCTAAACTCCCCGGGACTTTTCATATGTAATGAAACAGCCACTTTGCTTTCTGTCGCAAACAGTGAACACAACACATGTATAGTGTCTCCTCAGTTACATTTAATAGTTAACCAAAAAACAATAATTTAAAAAATGTAACA